TGCATTTAAAATGGGAATAAACCAATTTCAACATGTTGGTATAATGAGTTTAGAACATTGCCTGGTAGACTTAAAAAAATGTTGTTATCTAAAGGGATAATTCTTTTTTTTTTTTTTTTTTAATATTTATTTCTAGTTTTCGGCGGACACAACATCTTTGTTTGTATGTGGTGCTGAGGACCGAACCCGGGCCACACGCATGCCAGGCGAGCGCGCTACCGCTTGAGCCACATCCCCAGCCCCTAAAGGGATAATTCTAAAAATGAGGATTTCTAACTGAATTCACAGTCTTGATGATTAAGTTCTAAACTAACATTGAACTGGAATTGCCAACTTTTTGATAGCAATTTCTTCCATCAAATGATGATGCTTGAAACTTTTAATAGATCTTTTCTTTTCCAGAGCACTCGGAGCCACTGTATTTTCCTGCCAACAGTTGTGTGTACTGACGCATTTTCAAGGAAAAAGCCATTTGCTGATCTGTTGGTCTTACATTACCATCCAGCCATATGTGGATGGGGTTGAAGACTTGAGATTAGGCAGCTGCTTTTATCTTTATAATCTTCTACCAAGACACTTTTTTTTTCTAGAAGAGACCTACTCCGTTGATGTCTGTAGCCAAGATTCAGTCTCCTATATGCCAAATTCTCTTCCCTATACACATTTTACTTAACTTTAGATATACAGTTTTAATAACAAGTATACTTCAGAATACTTGTCATCGTCATTGATAAAAACTGTCTTCAGGAATTAGCTTTCTAGTGTCTACTGGACTACATTTATAATCTAGATTATCAGTCACCTATTATGTCTGGTACAGTTATTTTAGTACTTTGGAAAAGTCTGAGCTTATTTTCCTAGATGCCTTAGTGCTCAAAAATAGTTAATTGTTTTTTTGTTTTTTTGTTTTTAAGTGTTTGATAGCATTTAATGAACCTCCAGAGCTCTTGGTGGCTTTAAGCCACCAGAACACAGGCACCCCCAACACCCTTAATCTTCTCCTCAGCTCTTCTGCTGAAGAATTTGGCCTTCACGATGACAGGCAGCTTTGGGAGCATTCCCTTCCCCAAAACTTTGTAGTAACCCGATCGGACTACATCAATTATGGGAGCAGCTCCCGTCTTATTTTTGGCAGCATTTACTCTTGTCTGTTCACTGACCAATGTCCACAATTTATCAAGGTTGACAGTTGGGCAGAAACTCTGGTTCCTCTTTAAGTGGTAATGCCTCATACCAACTTTCCCAAAGTAACCTGGGTGATATTTGTCGAAGTTAATCCTGTGGTGATGCATGCCACCAGCATTACCCCGGCCTCCTGGGTGCTTCCGGTGCTTGCCGATGCGGCCGTGGCCATGGCTCACGTGTCCCCGAAGTTTCCGGGTCTTCCTCAGTCTGGATGGCATGTCAGCGGCTAAGACGAAAAAGGAAAAAAAAATAGTTAATTGTATTAAATGGAAAACTCTGGCTATCTATCTAATTTTCAGTAATTAATTTAGTCATTGCTGTAGTGTCTTCTTTTTTTATTTCTTTATTTTTTAGTTGTAATTAGCCACAAAATCTTTATTTTATTTATTTATTTTTATGTGGTGCTGAGGATCGAACCCAGGGCCTTGCACATGCTAGGTGAGCACTCTACTGCTGAGCCACAACTCCATCCCTATAATGTCTTCTTTATTTATAAACTTCTCCCTTTTATACTCACTCTTAATATTGCATTGGAAATGAGTAGAAACTGTATGACATTCCCAAGAGATCCCACTGATTGGGCTAACACTTGAAGAAGCAGGCAGTCTGTCCTCCTGTGAGGTTCTGGAAAGGAAAATCTTCTGTTATTATCTAATACACAGTCTCAGAAAGCCAAGCACACTGATAAGCAATTTTGGCCTTTTGATAAAGTGTTGGAGGTTTTTTAAGAATTTATTTGTAGCATTGGGCTTTTTCCCCCTTGATGAAAATGTTCTGATAGCAGAACTAATATACCAGTATTGACTCTTCAAGGAGGGGAAAAAAATTAAATATGCTCTTTAATCCCCAGTAGAAAAAAGTCTTAAACTTAATGGAAGTAATTTATTTTCATTGACTTCATTTGTTTGTTTTAGATATTGCAGATGTATAAGGGAACTTTGCATCTCAAGACTTCTTTTTTTCTCAGCTTTATTGAGGTATAATGAACAAAATAGACTTTTTCCTTTTTAATGAGTCATGAGAAATGTAGATCTGCATTCCCATATGTCTTCTGAAGCACCATATGGAAACACTGTTCCTAGAACTATGGCATTATTTCTTATCATTTCTTACTCCTATGTGTGTTAGTATGTGTGCCAAATAAAGATTTGTTCTTATTACAGATAGCCATTTTATGGAAAGAATTGATTTTGATGTGCACTTAAATGAATAAAATATATCCACCTCAATTTTTAAACAAGTTAATATTCTTTGAGTATCTGTTAAGTTACTGCTAAGGTACTAGGAGCTCTATATGGAAAATTTTCCCAAATGTCATGTTAGGAGATAAGTCAAGAAAGTAAGTAAATTAAATTACCCTTTCAAGGTAATTGATGCATTTTAAAAAATTAACTATTTTTAAGTATGCACTTGAGTGGCATTATTGCATTCACAATGCAACAACCACCCATCCATTTTTAGAACTTTTTCATGATCCCAAGAGACTGTGACCAGTAAGCAGTATTTCCTCATCTTGCCCTCCCCAGCCACTGATAGTCAACATCCTACTTTCTGTATCTGTGAATTAGCCTACTCCAGATAATTAATATTTAAGTGGAACCTTACAATTTTTATCTTTTTATGTCTAGTTTAATTCACTTAATAAAATGAAGGCTCATTTTTTAACATGTGTCAGGATATCTTTTTTTTTTTTTTTTTTTTCTTTTCAATGCTGGAGATCAAATCCTGGGCTTCAAGCATGCTAGATAGGCAGCTCTACAATCTCCCCCCCGCCATACTATTCCTTTACCATTGTGTGTATATATACACCATAGTTTATCCCTCAGTATACAGACACACTTTGGTTGTTTCCACAGTGTGGCTATTATATGCTGCTGTGAACATTGGAGTGTTCAAGTCTGAGTCTTTGTTTTCAGTTCTTTTAGATATATACCTGTGGATGGAATTATTGACTCATATGGTAATTTTATACTTAATTTTATAAGGATTCACCAAACTTTTTCATAGCAACTAGTTACATCAGCACTTCTATTTTACCAGTAGTACACAGGGTTTTAATTTTTGAAAATCTTCATTTCTAGGGTATAACAAGAACATCTTAGGGCCTGGGGTTGTGGCTCAATGGTAGAGCACTTACCTAGCATGTGTAAGGCACTGGATTCAATTATCAGCACCACATATAAATGAATAATTAAAGATCCATTGACAACTAAAACAAATGTTTATAAAAAGAAGTCCTGAAGAGGGGGCTGGGGCTGTGGCTTAGTGGTAGATCACTTGCCTTGTATATATGAGGTACTGGGCTCCATTCTCAGCACCACATAAAAATAAATAAATAAAGATACTGTGTCCATCTACAACTAAAAAATATTTTTTTTAAATCCTAAAGAGTATGAAGTAGGATTGGTACATTTGTAATACAGTGAAATGTCACCTCTTAGTTGGTATGTCTTCTTAGCAAACAACCTTTGCAAATAAGATCTTTAAGATAACAGTGATGCTGATTATGATGATATCATCTCCCAATTGAGTTTTTCTCTCTCCAAAATAATATTGTTATTAACTGTAATTTGACTTTTGCTTCTTAATATGATCTTCATATTATACAATACAGCATCATATTGAATCAAAATGAGCAATTCATAAAGACTTTAAACTCTTTTTACTGTTTGACTTCTTACATAGCCATAAAAAATGTGAAATTGAGTTGCCAATGATAAATTGATGGTTTCATACTTAAACCAAAATTTGCCAAATTCCTATAAAAATATCTTAGATTGTCCTAGCAATTATCTGGGAATTTGAAGTTAAAAAATAACTGTAAGAATGTGATTTAAAACAGTGCTTCTCAAACTTTAAAGTGAAGAATTGTGGTAATTTTGATTAAACGCAGATTCTAATCTCTAGGTCTTTTGGGGCCTGCTCTTCTGCTTGCTAACAAAACCTAAGTAATAGTAATGCTGATAACCAGAGGAACGAACATACCTTGAGTAAGGAGCATTTAAAATATTAATAAGAATGAAACCTAATTGATAAAAATTATTTAAAGGGTCTTCTTTTTATATGTATTTTTTTAGTTGTAGATGGACTGAACACCTTTATTTATTTATTTATTTATTTAATGTGGTGCTGAGAATTGAACCCAGTGCCTCACACATGCCAAGCAAGTGTGCTACCACTGAGCCCCAGCCCCAGCCCCTGACAAAAATGTTTTACACCTCTGAAGGCATGCAAAATTATAGAGTGGCACTGTGGTCTGAATTAGAACGAGATATATTCCATGTTTGTATAATTATGTTAGAATGGATTCTACTGTCATGTATAACTAAAAAAGCAATAAATAAATAAAAATAAACTACGTTATAAATATTAGGTAATATATTCGAACTTCAAAATTTATAAATTGAATGTACTTATTTTCTTAAAAAGCTGATATGATAGTATCAAGCTTTGGATTTTCAAGTTTTCTATAAAAATATTTCATGTCTTATTAGTTGCTCTGCCTTAGTTTTTTAATTTTAAAATTGAACAAGAATATCTCACCTGTACTTTTTCACTCTTTTTTTTTTTTTTTTTTTTTTGGTACTGGGGATTGAACCCAGGGATACCTTACCACTGAGCTTATCCCCAGCCCCCCCACTTTTTTTATTTTTAATTTTGGCACAGAGTCTGAGTTGCTGAGGTTGGCTTTAAACTTGCAATCCTCCTGCCTCTGCCTCCCAGGCCACTGGGATTATAGGCATGTGCCACTGCATCCAGCTTCACCTTGATATTGACGAATATTTTTAAATAGTCTTTTCTGTTTTTTTCCTTAGGGAGTGCCTTGGTGAAGCACATGAGCCTTGTGACTGCCAAACATGGAAAAACTGGCTACAAAAAATAACTGAAATGAAACCTGAAGAACGTAAGAATCTTAGATAGCTGTGCTATGTATTTCCAATACCATTCAAAATATAATGTCATATTTCTTATAATCTCATTTAAGAGGTTTTCATATTTGTTACTGATAGAGCTCCCATGTTTAACATTGCCCCCCTGATTAATAATACCCTTTTGGAGATCGAACTTTTTGCAAGGAGGAATCATTAGACAGGCCCCGTGTTTCTAATAAGAATTTATAGCCTAAGATAAATAGGACATGTGGGGAGGTCACATTTAATCTTCCCCATATAGCCCTTCTTTATTTTATCCTAGAATGAGCCAACCAACTTTTCTGTACTTTTTGAGAAATAGTATATGATCCATAGTGAGAAGCAACTTCCAGTGAAGAACAAGTGAATTTCTTGTGGTTCTATGTATTTACTTAATTAAATACCACATCTGTAACAGTTGTCACTGAGACTTCTATAAATAGATTATCTCTTAAAGGGAGAGTGGTCAAAGAAATGCTGTGAGGTGATGTTAATAATCATGTTTTACAGAGGAAACTAATATCTAGGTTGTACTGAGTGACACAGCATGTGCCTAATGATGAAATGGATTGAACTCTAAGGGGACGCCTTTTTAAATCCTTCCCAGTATCAATTCCCACATTAACAAATAAATATATCTACTTTGCATTATTTTCCCTACTCCTAAAGTGTTTCTGACAATATTTTCTTTCAAATTAATATAAATGTAAATTAATTTAGTTTGGGTCTTTTTAAAGTTTTTGTTTTTATTTTTAAGTAGTGGAGTTACTCTGATGTGTTGCAAATCAGGATCAAGAATTTAGTCACTGAATCTATACTTATGTTCAAAGCACATAATAAAGATGATGCCAACCAGTCATGGTGGCTCACGCCTATAATCCCAGCAGTTTGGGAGAATAGGGCAGAAGGATCACAAGTTCAAGGCCAGCCTCAGCAACTTAGTGAGACCCTGTCTCAAAATTTTAAAAAATAATTAAAAAGGGCTGGGAATTTAGCTCAGTCATAAAGCACCCCTAGGTCCAATCCCTAGTACCATAAACAAAAACAAAAGAAAAATGATGCCAGCCTTCAGGGAGTGCAGAGATTAAAGGATAAGCAGTCAGATAATTACAGTATTACATGATAACTGATACAGTAGAGTAACAATGAGAGTGCAGAAATAAGAACAACTAATTCAGGTTGAGGGTAGGAAGAATAACCTAGAATCTTCTAAAGGAAATAGAATATGAACAAAAATTAGGAATGATTTGTTGACTTCAAATGGTATATTCATTTTTTATTTAACATTTTTGAGTGATGTTGTATGTTAGAAGACAAAAATAAGTTAACTTATATGCTCTTGAAATTCTTATTTTAGAGAGGATATTGTAGTAAATGTTGAGAAAATTGTTCCTGTGGTAAAGAAGGTAAAGGAAACACATAATTATAAAAGAATTGATGCTTCTTAAGATGCGTCTTGAAAATGATAGATGTTCTTCACATGAGCCATAATAGGAAGGGCATTTCAAAAATAGGATGAAGTTTTACATGTGAAACAACATGGCCTATTCAAGGACTACAAATTCAGTACACCAATGCAGTGGTGCAGTAAGGCGTAGTAACAAATGAAACTACTCAGGCAGGGGTCCAAATCCGACATTGGGTACAGATAGGGTGTTGTACACAATGCAAGGAAGTCTGACTTGAGACAATGAAAAGGAGTTTTTAGTAGGAGAGTGATGAATGAAGATCCTTGCTTAGAAAGACACTCAAGCAGAAGTAGGGATGGTAAATCAGAAAGTATTAAAACACCAGGCAAGAACACCTTATCTGAGACAATTTCAGAATGACCAGGTGAGAGGCTATGAGGGCTTAAACAAGACAGGGGCAATTCAGATGAGGCAGGGGGTATATGCAGGAGAATGAAGAAGATGTAATTGTATTTAGTTGTAATCAAGTATGCTTTTTAGTTGCCTAGAAGATACAATGCACAAGAAGTAGTGTAGCATACTATTTAATTCTTGAGTAGAAAATGTCCAAAAGTATCTAAGATATAAAGCAAGTATTTTGATTGTTAATTGTTTTTAGTTACCCTTTATCATTTTAAAATTGGATCACTCATAGATAAGTTTTTGCAAAGGAAGGAGAGAATAGATATTGGTGGGATTGTGAAAGAATAATCTTGCACATGATAATGATCCTGGTTATAAGAAAAGAAATAGGAGAACTAGAAAGTGGTATACATACTATTTATATATGATTACCAATTTGACCAGAGATAGGGAGACCACAAATTAAAAAATGAAGATAGCCAGGTGCTGTGGTGTACACCTGTAATCTCAGTGGCTTGGGAGACTGAGGCAGGAGGATCATGAATTCAAAGCTAACCTCAGCAACTTAACTAGGCCTGAGCAACTTAGTGAGACCCAGTCTCTAAATAAAATATAAAAAGGCTGGGGATGTGGTTCAGTGGTTAAGTGCCCCTGGCTTTAATCCCTGGTACCACACACACAAAAAAAAAAAAAAAAAAAAAAACTAAAGGTCATTCTTGAAGAGCCCAAATGGGATTTTGATTCAGAAAGATGAAGAAACATTAGAAAATAGGATAAGAGACAAGAGTCTGAGGACACCTGAGAAATGTTCTACCAGAGAAAACCAAAGCTATGACAGTGAAAAAAAAAGTTAAAAGTTGCCAAATTGCCAAAAAAAAAGTAGGTATTTTCTCTATGTTGATGTGTGTTCTCCACACTGAAAGATGGTGGCCTACTAGTCTACTATTAATGACCACTTAAGCTTATGAAATTTATCATGAAACATAAAGCAAATAATAGTAGGCCAACTGTAATACTAAAGTAGAACGTCATCATTAAATACATAAAAAATGATATTCCAAAAAAGAAAAGTATGGCTGAATGCTATTTTAAGTTACATATTACTTTGAATCATAAGCATTTTTTCTTTGCATATTATTATTATTATTATTTTTTAATTTTTTAATATTTATTTTTCAAGTATCAGCGGACACAACATCTTTGTTTGTATGTGGTGCTGAGGATCGAACCCGGGCTGCACGCATGCCAGGCGAGCGCGCTACGGCTTGAGCCACATCCCCAGCCCGTTTTCTTTGCATATTATGCAAAAAAAAAAAATGGCAGAAGCTTTTATTTTTTTCTCTGAATGGGCGGGTCTCACTGTGTTGACCCAGGCTGATCTTGAACTCATGATCCTTCTGTTCAACCTCCTGAATAGCTGAGATTATAGGTACATCCTACTACACCCAACTCACATAGGCGTTTTTAACTAAACTTGTAGATTCTTGGGACAATTTCCTCTCTTATTCCCAGTTTTCCAAAGCCCCTGAATGATGAAACTAAAAAGCACCAAAATCTTCATTAATGAGAAAAGATATTAAGAAAATATGTAAAATCCACTTGAATTCCATATGAAAATTCAAATAGTTTTTTGAGCACTGAAATTGACTCTATTGTGTTTAATCAAAGCAAGAAGAAGTAATGATTGTATTTTCTGTGAAATGATGTTAATTTATATAATTTACAATTTTTTCATAGTACATATTCAGTAAATGGTTGTGGAATTTAATTCAAATTGTCTATTTAAAAATATAGTCTATGAACATGCAACTGAAGTGAGGGGAAGAGTTTGAAAGTCAGTAGGGGTAATGAAGATTTACCACAGAGCTTGGAGATAGATAAGGTATTGGAGGTATTAAGAACAGTATATATACAAATAAACAATGTCTGAAATAAGCATGTTCAAAGAATTGGTGAAAAAGTGAAGGCATTTTTTTCCAACATAATTTTTTGTTACAGTAATAGTTGTTTCCTGAATGTGATTTACGTCATGTAATCCATTAGAATACAGTTGGGAGATAGGGTTCTCTCCAAGGGTAAGAGAAAAAAATGTTATGTTGCAGGCCACACAGCCTCTTTGTTTTAATGGCTTTGTGCTTTATTTACTATAACAATGGACAATAGGGTCATAAGAATATGTTAGAGCCTCTGAGCTAAAATAACATTGATTCTGAAGAGAGAAACACCACTATTTAAAAAAAATATGTTTTAAATGCAGCGTTTACTTAGTTCATAGGTTTTTTAGAAATGCCTTTTGTAAACAGCATTGCCATCAGCTTGACCATATTAACCATAAGTATACTAAGTTTTTTCTGAAACTCCTGTCCCCACCAAATTATTCTGAGAATTCTATCTGCCAGCACCCTCGTTGACCCATCTTCTACCAAGTGAATTTAGAACCGGAGTGAAGTCTTGTCACTACACTGCTTCTGTTGTTTCTCTTTGCTATGTGGAATTAAAAATCAGTCCAACAGTAGGTGCTATTGTGTTGCTATTGCAAGAAAGCCCCACTCCTTTACTGCTAGGTCCCATCTAAGGACTGCTTATAGTGCTCAGTCCCTCCAATTCATATACAAAGCCACTTCCTAGATCACAGTCAGCCCAAACTTTTGTCCACTTTCCCTTTCCAGGGACTTATATCTGTGGAGGGGGTGGGGAGAGGTAATTTTTCCTTTTAAACTTCAAAATTCAAAGGGTCTGGTTTCTCCCCTGATTTATAGTAGAGCTAAACACTTAGCCCAACACCCTTTCCAAAGTGTCTGCATATAATTAAAGCCTTTATTAAGTGGGCCATCCTCCATGATTCTAACATGATTTTCTGACATCTTTGTCACTAATGGAAAGGAAGGACTTCTCAGTGTACTTAAGAGCTAGAAAAGAAAAGAAAACCTGCTAGATTATTGACATTCTTACTTGGAAAAAAAAATTTAAATTGTTTGTCTCTAACTCTGTTGGGGGGGGGGGCTTATAAGTTTAAAACCTTTAAAAATCATGTCATTCCTGAAGTTTACAGATCCCAAATTATAATATCATAAATGGAGTTTAAGTACTCTAATGTTGAAATGGTGCGGGGATATTGAGTGAGCAATGGTGGCCGAGTAGATGACCAGATGATAAAAAAAAAATTGTATTCTTTGCTAAAGCAATTTGAATTTATCTTGTAGTCAGTGAGGAACAATTCAGAAATTTTAAGCATATTTTATTTTAAAAAGGTCATTATATAGGCAGTTAGGAGTGGGACAGAGAGGGAACTGGGGATATAGGTTGGTTTTCTATACTTCCATTGTCTAGGCAAGGGGTATGTAAGATTCTAGCTAAAGCAGTAAAAAGTGGGAGTGGAGAGGAAACAGATATGAAGGAAAAAGAAGTAGAATCATTAGGATGCCCAGAGGAAGAGTAAGAGGAAAATATTGAAGATTATATTCCTCCTGGATTGACTCTGGGCAGGCATTATTTATCTATACAAAAGCTAGAAAAAAGAACATGTTTGGGAAAAATGGTTAAGTTTACTTTTAGACATGTCACATTGGATTCATTTTAAGTTTATCCAAAATAATTATGGATAACAAAAAAATTGATATTTAATACTTTCACTATAATGAAGAATTTCTGATAATTATGTTTGCAACTGGATTTAAGTAATTATTGTCTACAGCAATCATTCTTTGGTTCTTTTCTTTCCAGTTTATTTGGATACAATTTTATAAGGGAAAAAAAAAAAAAAAACTTCAAACTAGAATTGATAAATAGGACTTTTGGGATAAAGCTTTTTATCTTTATAATTATGCCAATCAAAATGAAGCAACTTAAAAAATGTTGCCATAAACCGTAATAGGAAAATAAATATACGATTAAAATGGAGAGTTAACCTGGAAGTAAAGTGTGGGTTTTTTCCTCTGTGAAGTTGTACACAAAATCATTTCTTTTTATGTTTGTGCTTAATATCCCAAAGTTGTGGGAGTTAGTGAAGCTTATGAGGATGCTGCCAATTGTCTCTGGTTGTTAACTAACTCCAAACCTTGTGCTAATTGTAAGTCTCCGATACAGAAGAATGAAGGCTGCAATCACATGCAGTGTGCTAAGGTAAGAATTGGAGTGTTTTATATGCTTTGCAGTTGGAATCTTAATATAAGTTGATTGTCAACCCAAAGCAGAAATGTTGCTTTGCTAATGAAACCATCAACTAAATAAGTAATTATCGTATTGAAAATTAAAATGCCAACATGATCCACTTAGCTGAAAAATCATATAAATAATTAGTTTTAGAGGACTGAAGGCTAAATAGGATATACCCTCCTGATTTCGTTGCACAAAAACAAATTACTATATGTTTCAAATATTCTGGAATTAATCCCTGCTTATATTTTGAACATCTCTGTTATAAAATTGTAATGATATTCTAATGTTTTATCATGTCATCAAATGTTTTAAAATGATTATTTAAACTATTGAGAGGATCGTAATTTTTTCTCATTTAGAGAAACTCAAATCGTTAAGATTTCTATAAAATATTTCCGTATCTTCTAAGAATTACTTGATTTTTAACCTGAAATTTAATGATCATTGTAGTTATAACTTGCAAAAGAATGGCAGTTAGAATGTTATTACAAAACTGTGTTATAAAATTCACATATATAGCTAGGCACAGTGGCCTACACCAGTAATCCCAGTGACTTGGGAGGCTGAGACAAGAGGAACACAAGTTTGAGACCAGCCTCAGCAACTTAGTGAGACCCTATCTCAAAATAAAAAGGGCTGGGGATGTAGCTCAATAATAGAGTGCCTCTGATTCAATTCCCAGCACCACTATAAATCAGTCAATTAAAATTAACATAAATGAATCAATTTAGTGAGGGAATAATGATTCCCCAAGAGACAGAAAAATCTAGTGCAATGTTCTGAGCAAAGTATTTAAAAGTGCTTATTAATATGGCTAAGGATTGGACTAAAATCATTTCATCTAATTATGGTATTATTTCCAATACTCATATTCATTTTTTTCTTGGAAAATCTTATATAGATTATACATGTAAGGAAATACAGATTGACTCTAAAATTCATAGTTGGCTGAGATAGAATTCTACTTTACCTTTATTTCCTTCATAGCACATACCTGTATGAGTAAAGGAATATCTAATAATGCTGTCTGAAATGTTTGCATTGAAAGTAGAAAAATAGCATTCTTATTATGACATGTAAGACATATTTAGAGAGTAATAATCTTACAGCAAAATTGAATACTTCAGAAATATTTTTTAAATGTGTAGGTGAAACAACATTTCATGTGTAATTGAATCCATTCTGCACCACAAAGACTAAATCACAATATAGCTTTATTAATGCCTCAGCATTGATTATGATTCAGTGAGCAATTTTTCTTTCTGGAATCAAATATGTTAAACATTTTAAAAGAATGACGAATTTAATCCTCTAAAAGTATGTTTATTTATTTTTAAAACACTATTTATTCTATAAGTGTCCTCTTAGATAATTTTTGGTAGCTATTTAACTTTTTATTCTTAAATATTTTAAATTACTTATACTAATTTTCTTTATCTCATTCTGTGCGAAACTTTATGCCATGACTAAAAAGTAAAAATTATTAACGTTCTATATTCCTCTTCCTGCTTGAATTCAGTCCCCAGTAAGCAGGGAGGGGGATACTAAGACATTTTATCAGAGCCTTGAAATAAGTTTATAGTTTATTATGTTGTAAACGGCTTTAATTCAGTTCTCTGTCCATTTCATATTAGGCAGACAAAGAATTTAGGGAATAAAGGGCATCAATACCATAATTAACTAAAGTGTATATGTTTATTATATATATCAAATTCTATATCCTGAAAATGTGAACTCTGCCATCTTTTCAAGCACCATGAAGCATTGTACACAAAAAATTGATCACTAATCATTAAAACTTCAATAACTTTCCAAAGGTAGAAAATAATACAAATAATAATCTCTGATCATAAAGGAATAAAATTGAAATTAATAATAAAGTTATATAAAAGGCCTTTTCATCTTTCAGACAACATAAATGAACAAAATGTAAATTAAAGAATTTTCTAGGGACTGGGGTTGTGGCTTACTGGTAGAGCTCTTGCCTAGCACATGTGAGGCACTGGGTTTGATCCTCAGGACCACATTAAAATAAATAAATAAATAAATAAATAAAGGTATTGTGTTCATCTACTACTAAAACTATTTTTTAAAGGTCTCTAGAAAAAAAAAATAATGAAAATGTTTTATCAGAATCCAAGGGCTGCAGCTAAAGCAATACTCAAAAATATGTTCAGCCATTAGCTGGTAAATAGGTGGAATTATGCTAAGTGAAATAAGTCACACCCAAAAAGTCAAAAGTCAAGTATTTTCTGATATGCAGAGGTCAGTCCAAAATAAGGAGGGTGTGTATTCCATCTAAATAGAAGAGAGATCAATGGAGTAGACAAAAGGGGAGAGAGGAGGGACGGGATAAGAGAGGAACATTGCAATGAATCTGATCTAACTTTCCTGTGTACATATGTGAATATGTTGCAGTAAATCTCACCATCATGTATACCCGTAAGACATTGGATGGGAAGGGAAGTACTGGGGACTGCATTAGAGCAAACTATATTCCATGCTTTTATAATTATGTGAAAATGAATCCTAATGTTACAGATAACTTAAAAGAACCAATGAAAAAATATGTGCAGCCTTATTTACCTAAAATGATACAAAATAAAGAATTGAGAATGTGATTCAGAAATTTAGAAAAAGAAATTTTAAAACCACAAGGTTTAGTGCATGGGGGCAGAAAAACAGTGGAAAGAGATGGACATCATTACCTGGGGTGTCTAGATACTTGTATGACTGCACATGTGGTGTGACACTACACTGTGTACAACTATACAAATGTAAAGGTATGCTGCAATTGTGTACAATAAATCAAAATGCATTCTGCTGTCATACCTAATTAAAATAAATTAACTTTTAAAAAAGAATTGCAGAAATTAGTGAGCTTTGAAAAACAGTGCAACAACAAAGAATCAAATTATTTTCTGAAGAAAAAATATAGAAAAACCAGTAAGCTAACATAATAAATAATGGAGTTGAGAGAGTTCAAATATACCAAATAAGAAACAGGGAAACAGTCAGAGAAACAAACAAAAATAAAATAAAATAATCAGAGAAACAAACTGGAATAATAAGGAATAATTTAGCTGAACCCTTGCAAATATATTTCAGGCTGGATATGAATGGATTATTTTCTCAGAAAAAAAGTAATTAGTTAAAAGTGACCCTAGAAGAGAGAAAATATCAATTATCTTCATTCCCATAAAGAGAAAGAAAGTTTTACAAAGATAAGCCCCACCACAAACCCCATTAAGGATCATTTCTTTCTTTTTAGTCCCTTCAATGAGTCCTGACAGTTTCACAGGAGAATTTTATCAAACCTTTAAGGAACAGGTAATACCAATGTCATTTAAACTGTTCCTGGGATTTTTTTTTTAATTTATTTTTAAAGAAAACGTGAAGTTATTTTTATTGAGTAGAACCTTAATACCACTTGACAAGATCATAAAAACAAAACTTTAATCTTACTTATAAATAACAATACAGAAGTCCTGATAAGACATTAGAGGAGACAAAAAGCACACAAAGATATTTGCAGACAATATCAGAACATATAAAGAGAGTAATTGATGAATCAGGGTTTATTCTAGGAATACAAGAATGGTTCCAGGGCTGAGGTTGTGGCTCAGTAGTAGAACGCTCACCTAGCACATGTGAGGCCCTGGGTTCGATCCCTCAGCACTACATATAAATAAATAAAATAAAGGTATTATATCCAACTACAGCTAAAAAATAAATTTAAGAAAACTGGTTCCATATGAGGAAAATTGTTACTCTACCTCATCTTATTGGTAGATCCAAAGAGGAAAGTCATATATTTTCTATAGATGCTGAATGGCTTTTGACAAAAGTTTTAAATTTTTTCTTTTTTAATATTTTTAGTTGTAGATGGGCACAATATCTTTATTTATTTACTTTCATGTTGTGCTGAGGATCGAACCCAGTGACTCAAGCATGCTAGACAAGAACTCTACCACTGAGCTACAACCCCAATCCCTAACAATTTTTATAAACACTCAAATCAATAAAGAATGGACTCTTTCTAAGTGTGATAAAAAATAAATTGTCTCCATGAAAGCTAATATATTTAGTGGGGAATTAGTGGCAGCTCCCTAAACACAAAAATAAAGTAAGGATGCTCTGCATTATTATATTATCATTAACACTGAACTGGTAATACTGGTCAACATAATTAGACAACATAAAGAAATTAAGAGGGGCTGGGGTTGTGGCTCAGTGCTTGCCTAGTGTGGGTGAGGCACTGGGTTCAGTCCTCAGTACCACATAAAAATAAATAAATAATAATAAAGGCATTGTGTCCATCTACAACTTAAAAAATATTTTAAAAAATCGTTCTGTTGGGGCTGGGGTTGTGGCTCAGCGGTAGAGCGCTTACCTAGCACGGTCGGGACCTGGGTTCGATCCTCAGCACCACATAAAAATAAAGGCATTGTGTTGTGTCCATCTACACCTAAAAAATAAATTTAGAAATTTTTTTTAAATCATTCTCTTAAAAAAATTAAGAGTTGTAAAAATTAGATTAAATATTAGGTAATAAAAATATCAATTTTGCAGATGGCATGATTGTATGCCTAGAAATCCATAAAAATCACTGAAAAACTACTACAAATAAATATTCAGTTAAATAGCAGAGTACAAAACTAATATACAGAAAGTAATAATATTCATATGTACAAGCAACATCAGAAAAATATATACTGAAAGATATTATTTATCTAGAAATAAATTTAAGAAATATGCATGACTTTTATAGAAAAAAATTTTAAAATCCTCTAGGGTCCAAAGGATGATGAACAAATAAAAAGACAACCAATTTCTTAAATAGAAAGACTCAAAAATATCACAAGTTTTGTTTCTGCATCTAGATAAACTTAATTCAAAAAATTTTTTGTTGGAGACTGTGCAACTCAGTGGTAGAGCACTTGCCTAGTATGTGAGACTCTGGGTTCAATCCCCAGCACCGCAGAAAGATAGAAACAAACAAGTCCGTAAGGGAAATCAAAGCAAGAATAACTAGGAAAACTGAAAAAGAACAGTAAAGTGGTACTAACCTTGATAAGCCATATTACAAATCCTCAGTAATTAAAACAATATGGTGCTGGCATGTGAATAAACAAGCCCAGAACATAAAGCAAGCCCAGAAAATAGATACACATACATGGGAATTTAGCATATGGTAAAGGTGGCATTCTTAACCAGTAGATACACATGAATTATTCAGTAATTGGTAATAGGATAGTAGGACAGCTATTGGGGGTGGGAATAAAGTTAGTTTCATACTATATACCCAGATAAGTTTCTAGTAGCTCAAAGATTTAAATGTTTCTTAAAAAAAAAAAAAAAAAAAAATGACCAGAAAACAACATAGACTTAGAATGGGAAAATGTTTCTGATTCAGAATCCATGTTCATATTTTTGGCATTTTCTTCTAATTATGGCATATTAAATAAATAAAATTTTCTTTAAAATGGGAAACAGCTTTCTGTCAGCTCCTGTACTTAGAGACCTTATAAACATTGCAGCTTCAAAACCAATTTGTCTATCAAGTTGCCAGAAGTTTTTCATATGGAACATAGAACTTCAGACACCAGTGTCAGATTACCACACACTCGAAAAAAATGAAACATTTATCACTATTTGTTTTAGTATTTGAAACAAATATCCTACTGATATTTTTATTGTTTCTTTTTGATTACTTCATAAAATATTGTGATTTTATTTTTTAGTTATACCTAGAAGTAACAGTTTTAAACTACCCTCACATCTTTCCATAATGCAGATAAGATAGCAAAAGGAAATATTGAGAAAGAGAGCATATCTTTGAGATGTTTTGTTTCTGGTCACATAAACAGAATTGTTTAGTCACTACAAATTGATTGACTAAAAAGCAGAGCAGCATTTGTATATTAACAGGGAAATGTTATGCATGTATGTTTTCTTTTGAAGTGCAAATATGACTTTTGCTGGATTTGCCTAGAAGAATGGAAAAAACATAGCTCTTCCACTGGAGGTTATTACAGATGTACTCGCTATGAAGTCATTCAACATGTGGAGGAGCAATCCAAAGAAATGACTGTGGAGGTAAAGAGAACAGATTAAGCCAAGACTTTATATTTTTGTGTAAGCCGCTTAAACCATGAGAAGTATTTTGCATTTCTTCTTTTCCTGTCGTCATCTTTTTTTTTTTTTTTTCCTACCAGGAATTGAACCCAGAGATGCTTTACCATTAAGCTACACCCCCAGCCCTTTAGATTTTTTGAGACAGGGTCTCTCTAAGTTACTTAGAGCCTTACTAAATTGCTGAGGCTGGCCTCAGATTTGCGATCCTTCTGCCTTAGCCTCCAGAGCCCCTGGAATTACAGGTGTCTGCCCCCTTACCCAGCTCCTGTCTTCATCTTAATGAGGCATTAAAATTGAATACACTTTGGAGGAGGCTTTAGTTAAAACAAAGTAATCTATAAACTTGAAAGTTTTTCCTCCTTTTAAGCTTTCCCTTTTGATTTTGATGAAGGTATGAAAAGCCTAGTCTCAACCTGCCAACGTAAAGACTTAAAAATAATTTTCATAAAATATCAACAATACAGTATTACATTATAGCATACAGTGTGCTAGTCTGCTCAGCTGCCAAAGATGGGGTAGCTTAAACAATAGAAATTTATTTCTCACAATTCTAGAGGCTATGAAGTCCAAGATCAGGGTTCTAGCTGACTGATTCTTGGTGAGGAGATTCTCATCTTGGTTTACAGACAGCCAGCCACCTTCTCACCTGTGTTCTCATGTTGTCTAGGAAAGATAATGAGAGCGCTCTGGTGTCCCTTCCTCTTCTGATTAGGACACTAGCCCTATCACATTAGATCACTACACTAATGACCTTACTTAACTTTTATTACCTCCTCAACAGGCACTGTCTCCAGAAACACTTTGGGGTTAGGACTTCAACATAAGAATTTCAGTAGGACACAAATTATTCTCTGACAATAAACCATATGATAAGGCATTGAAGGGCTTGGGGTTGTGGCTCAGTAGTAGAGCACTTGCCTAGCATGCATGAGGCACTGGGTCTGTTCCCTGACACCACATAAAAATAAACAAAATAAAAGTATTGTGTCCTTCTACAACTAAAAAAATTTTTTAAAGACATTGAAGATGTGAAGATGTCTAATGGGTTGTTGAAGAGAATACCAATTTAGACTTTGTTTTGAGAGCCTTTAAAATGTATTGATTATTATTTTTTCTCAGCAAAATAACCAACAAATCTGTATGCATCACTACCTGTTACTAATAAAAAATTTAAATTATCCCTCCAGAACTAATTTTAATAATTAGTCGTTTTTGTAAAAGTTATTAATGGACTTTTGTTTTCTAGGCTGAGAAAAAGCACAAACGGTTTCAGGAACTTGACAGATTTATGCACTATTACACAAGATTTAAAAACCATGAGCATAGTTATCAGGTATGTCTTAAATCATTTTAAATGAGTTGAACCACTCTGTTGTAAATAAATAAAGAAGATGGCTTAAATTATTTATTTTTGTTCCTTTAGTTAGAACAACGCCTTCTTAAAACAGCCAAAGAAAAGATGGAGCAATTGAGTAGAGCTCTCAAAGAAAGTAAGTTCTAAGTGATTGTGTTATAATTAATATAAAATATTAATTAATATAAAATGTCCTTCCATGCTAATTCAGTTCACTGATTAGAGATTAGGTCTCTAAAGAAATGTATTATAGTCATTAGCTCACCTATGTCCTTATGTTGTCTGGGAAAGAGAATGAGATTGCTCTGGTGTCCCGTCCTCTTCTTATAAGGATAAGTCCCTTCCTCTTCTTATAAGACTTTATCTCTTGTGATAGAATTTTCCACCTGGCACCTAGCCTGCTTCTCTTAATGTAGCCTATGGTGACAAAAACACATCATGACTTTGTTTACATTGTGCCTTTCCTGATGCTCTCTCAAGTGTTGGGAAAAGTGATGGGTACTAAAGGGCATTCCTGACATAGTCAAAGGAAGCAACATACATATGCTACCCAAATGTCATAAACTGAATACCATAAAATTCTTGAGAAAGTATAGCAGAGTGCCTAATGGAGTCAAAATAAAAGTTCGGAGAGAAATAGTTTCACTGGTAAGTAATGAACTCAAGGTCAAAAGCAAAGCCATAAGAAGAGCTAACACTTATAAGTCTTAATTATAAAAAGAGTATTCCTAAATATGGATCAAGTGCTAGTTACATCATTAGAACATAATATCCCACAGTGACCACACAATACAGGGTATGGTATGTTTATTTTTAAAAATCATATCTTAAAAATAGTCCTACCATTTATAGGAATGACATATTTAAGCCTAAAAATGTGATCAGTTATATTTGTATTTGTTCCAATTTATAAAATAATGAGTACTAATAACCTTTTTTGTGAAAATGATTCCCTAATAAGACAGTAACCATAAGATAAATAGAGAAGGGAAGAATGTATCAATAGGCTTATTCTTGTTAATTATTAGTTTGTAGACATTATTAATGATATAATTATATCACACTAATATCAAGCTCTAGAATATTGTCCACAGTAAAATTGAAAGGGAAAAAATTATCACAGGGTACATAGTTCTTTAGTAGAGATTATTGTCTATTCTGTCATTAATGTATTCCTATTACCTAGAACCATGCCTGACACGTAGTAAACAATAAATATTTGCGATATGAATTACTGCTTTTGTTCAACATTTGGAGGTTCTAGGCAGCATATAAAATGTGAAAAAAATTAAAAAATAAGAATTGAAAAAGAAGATACAATTTCATGCACTTCTTTCACATATAATGAGCAAGGGGCATGTTTGGTTTGGTTTGTTTTTTTACATTCTATAGATACCAAATGTTGAACAAAAGCAGAAATTTTAGGGTGGTATATATATATCTGTGAACATACAGATGTAATTGAAATCTAAAGGATCTAAAGGCATGCAAAATAATCTGGTTTTCAACAGTACTTATTCTTTTAGATTCTATAGTTTGTTAAAGAATGCTGTAAAGATATTTTTGCTTTATTAAGACAATTTCTTCTTCCCTGCTCCTCACTCTTCCTTTTTTCTCCCTGATGTTTTTTATTTACTAGAGTTAGTTATCCATTTGTTCCTCAGAATGTAGTATCTTTTTCCTGTGTTGTATTTGCAGAGGGTTGATTATAATTAGACTTTTTTTTTTTTTTTTTTTTAAAGCAAGCAATTTAGCAAAGGCATTTGTTCTAATTCTTAAGCAACAAAGTTCCCCTAGGGCCAGGGTTGTAGCTCAGTGGTAGAGCACTTACCAAGCATGCATGAGGCACTGGGTTCGATCCCGGCACCACATAAAAATAAACAAAATAAAGGTATTGTGTCCATCTACAACTAAAAAAAATATATTAAAAAAAAAAGTTCCCCTAGATATAATCTGAAAAATTTAATAAAACATTAAACGTAAAGCTGTGTTTGTTTACCAATAGGTTAAGGACAGAATCCAGGATGAGTGTGTGCATTCTTCATGGCTCCTGGGCTGATCTGAATGTCCTTCACTATCACATGCATATCACATATGAATATTTCATATAGGTTTTTAGTTTAGCTCAAATAAGTATCATAGAACTACTTTAGTTTCTTCTTAAGGATTTTTTTTTTAAGAAAACAGTTGTTTGGTTAATTTTATAATAAAATAGTTTGCAAGAAAACTTCACTGTGCCTTAATTCCTTTATTATAGCTGAAGGAGGCTGTCCAGATACCACTTTCATTGAAGATGCAGTTCACGTGCTCTTAAAAACTCGGCGTATCCTCAAGTGTTCTTATCCATATGGATTTTTCTTAGAACCTAAAAGCACAAAGAAAGAAATTTTTGAACTAATGCAAGTAAGATATCTTGTTAAATTTATATTTCAAATGATAGCAGTTATATGTAGCTTATAAATAAAAACTAACCAATAATAAACTGAAATTTTCTTTTATGTTTAAATTTGTCACTGCAAGTTTGAATGAGTCATGAACTATGCTAGCATTTGTTTCTTTGTTTTAAACTGGTTTTTGAAGTTTATCCTCAAATATGAAACAAACCACATTATATTCTAGATTAGAAAGTTATGTTTACTGGTTTATTTTTAAAGTACAACTGAAAAAGTTACAGTATTTAAGAGAATGGTGAATTGCTACCTATACTTAAGAGAAAATTAATAGATGTTAAATGTGTGCCCCACTAGTATAATACTAATTCCAGTGGAGCAGTTCATGATTTAGTCCTCAGAAAATATTTTAGCAGAAATGGATTAGGATTAAAAAAAATTGCTTCTTACCCAATTATCTTTTTGCATTTCACAAGGCTGTGCTAAATAAATGTATGTTATATTTTTTTTCTACCAAAAAATAGTATGCAAATAAACATGTTCGATTAAAAAAAAAAAGTTGGGGCTGGGGATAAGCTCAGTTGGTAGAGTGGTTGCCTGGCATTCACAAGGCCCTAGGTTCAATCCCCAGCACTACCAAAAAAAAAGTTACAGAATTTAAAAAGCTAAAATACCTGAGTCAGCTGAAGTCCTTGTAACCAATCAACTTCATTGTACACTCATCTTTTTTTGAAGCCATCAGACTTCCTTCTTTTCTACTGTCATGTATAACTAATTAGAACAAATAAAAAGTATTTTTTAAAAAACTTTCTCCTTTCATTACAGTTTCATGTATTATTTTTAAGCTGTCCTTACTAATTTATATCCTGCATTTCTTTTAAGGGTCAATATTCATTTTCTCCATAGCCTTTAAGGCCTAACCCCAAATCACAGTGGTCTTACCTTGCCTCAGATTCCTTCAGCATTTATATATGGTCTACATCATAACATCTTGCATGTGGTTGTACAGTGTCTTGAAGTATATTACACATTTCACATAGACAAGTTATAAATTCCTTATAGATACTTTCTATGTTCAATGACTGTAATCTGTACCAACTACATCACTGTAAATACCTATTGTAATCTACATTTCTATAAATACCTATCAAATAAGTGTCATTTTCCTGAAATTAGGGGGATTCTTTCTCTTTTATAACCTGGAAAAATGTACATAGTAGTAAGTATGTCAAATAGGAAGTTATTTCAAAATTTGTATTACTTTCTGACTCCAAAAGAGTGAGACTTAGCTAGGAGACCAGATCAACTCTGGATTTGCTGCTTACTAACACATTTAGCCTATAATCTTTTTTTTTTTCCCCTCCTCATGCCATAGACAGACCTAGAAATGGTCACTGAAGACCTTGCCCAAAAAGTCAATAGGCCTTACCTTCGCACACCTCGCCACAAGATCATCAAGGCCGCATGCCTTGTACAGCAGAAGAGGCAAGAATTCCTGGCATCTGTGGCTCGTGGAGTTGCTCCAGCAGACTCACCAGAAGCTCCAAGGCGCAGGTAAAAAGGATGTACACTATAGAAACCACTTTAGCTTGAGCCACAAATGCCAGCAGTTGTATTTTTTATCCAACTAGGGTTCATATGCCTGGAGGTTACTTACACCTAAAATATGGATAGCCAATAAAAGTCTGTTACTTTCTTTTTGGTGATATTTTGTCTTCAGTACTATTTCTATTTTATTTGGCATTTCTTTTTTGTTTGTTTATCATTGTACAGTTCCTCAAACTAATTAGACTAGGTTAATTTCACATTTCAGGTGAACTCACAATTCATAGAGTATTCAAATGCGCCATTTCAAGTGTATAATATATGTAGTGATATGATGAGTCACAGACATCTGATAATGTAGAATTTGTCAACTGCCAACTTGTTATGGTCATATTTGTATTTTTGTGTAAGAACTTGTAAAGAAATGAGAAATCTGCTAATACTAAAGTTACCTAAATGATTCAAATTTATCCCTAAAAAGAGCAGTTGTTTTGGTTGTTTCATTTCAGATACTTATACTACTTCTGCCACTGCAAATTGAAGCATATTTTATTATTCATAATGATTACAAGCATTACTTATAAAGTAAAAATAGAAGCAGTTGTAAAAATATTTTGTTATAACATGCTGATTTTTATTTTTTTGTTATTTTGCACAAACAAAGCAACTTGGAATTTGGAAGAAATGATGAAAGTGTCATTTTAATAATCAATCTACTTTGGTTAAGCAAATTCTTAGTAGAAGAATTAAAAGTAATGTTCAAAGGGCAAGGGTCTGGTGGTATGTACTTTATAGTACTGATAATAAATCAAATGGTATGTCTAATTTCTTTGTAGCTTTGCTGGTGGAACATGGGATTGGGAATATTTAGGATTTGCATCACCTGAGGTAATTGTTTTGTGGGGGCTTTTGGTTGTTGGTTTTTTTTTTTCTTAGCACAACCCTGCTTGCATTTGCACCTTCATCTATTCTAAATCCTACTAAGGTTATCAGCAGTGCTTTCTCTTTATTTTGTAACAAAAATGCTTCAGCAGAACCTACGTTTAGCTCTTCATAGTACTGGAGTATCGTCACATTGTTAAATGTATCCCCCTTTTATTGTTCTTAATTCATAAACAGAACTTAGGCAAATTTACAACATATATTTTTGGAAGATATCTTCTAATTTGTTAATAGAGGTAATTTTTACTTATTAGAAATGGGTTTCTATTTGTAATATTATTTTAGTCTGAATCTATTAAAAACCTAAATGAATGATGTATTTTTTATGTTACTTCAACAAACTTGAGAATTAATTCATAATGAAATTACTAAAGTGTGAAACTTTGCAGTGATAATGTTCATATTAAAAGAAATGCTTTGCTTAGTTGCTTTCTGCTTCCCTTTAAGACTTTCTTATTCTTCTTATTTGTGTTTTTGGTTCTTGTTATTGAAATGTCATTTTATACTACAGAAAATCTAAAATACTTAATACTGCAACAAGCAGTTTTGGCAAATAAGGCAGAGTGAAAATCTTAATCACAAATATTTTCTGAGATTTAAATTGCCAATGTCACCTTTATATCTGATTTTTAAATTATTTTAGCAGTTCTCTGCTTGTCTTTCCTTTGCTCCTTATAATATAGTATAGCATTTGATACTTACATTCCTCAGTTTATTCTTGAAATGAAGCAGGACAAATGATGAAACCTTTGTGTATCATTTATAGCCCATTTTTTGTGAAAATGATTATTATTCAGAATATTATTCAGAAATGACTATGGCTTATTTAAATCAGACACTTTCTCTTTTCAGCTTCTGAGGATACTTGCAATCACCTTGTGGCCTTTTATATTGGTAGATATCTTTAAGAAAATATTGACTTGAGAAAACAGTGCTTATAAGGCATATGGAAATTTTAAATTCACTTTTAATTGCAAAAATATATATATACTAATGAAATTTTTATTGGAAAACAAATTACAGACCTGGTTCTAGACTTATTATTTCTGTATTATAATATGATTATAGCTTTGGGGATATTATGGGAAAATTATGCCTAAAAGGAGGAATAGATAACTTCATTTATCAAAAAAAAAAAAAAAATGAGCACAGTTAAGCAAAAATAAAACCTTTATCAGTGTTCATAATAATGTTTGTATCATCTTGATGCTTCTGGCTCTGACAGTAACTTTAGAGATTCTGAAATATTTGGCCTGCTAATATGACTATCACTTAAATTTTTGTTTTATGAATTAATTCCACAAAAATTATTTAATCTACTTTTGCTTTTCTTTAGTCTTTGACATGTTGAAATTCAAAACTTTTGTGTAAACTTTACAACAAAACCAAAGAATTACCACACATTGTGAGACTTTCAAATTCTGTGTGTGACTATTCAATATCTGCCAAGATTATATTTTTAAAAGTTATCTCTTTATCTTAAGATAGACTATGGGGAAAGGGGAATAATTTTACTTAACTCCAGTAGACTTTTAGGTTAGATTTATATTTTTTCAGTGAAGTTAATTTTACCTTATTTTATTTACATTAAATTGCATGAAGCTGGGTGCATCTGTAATTCCAGCAACCCAGGAAGCTGAGTTAGGATTGCAAATTTGAGGCCAGCCTCTTCAACTTAATGAGGCGCTGTCTCAAAATAAAATATAAAGAGGGTTTGGAGCATATGTAACTCAGTGGTAAAGTACCCCTGGGTTCAATCCTCAGTACCACAAAAAATAATAGTAATAAATAGATAAAAATTTTAAAAATAAATTACATGAGTCCATGGCAGGCACAAGTATTTGTTTTATGCCACTTTATTTATTTTTTTTTCCTTTTTCGACAGCTAGCTCAGACTACAGTTCCCATCACCATGTTTTATGCCACTTTAAAGTCAGGGAAATTTTGTTTAAAGAGCATAGTCTTAAAGTCTGAGAAACACTTGAGTTCAGGTGTTTCTAGTTCTCTAACTTACTAGATCTTAGCATGTTCTCTTCCTTAACTTCTCATCTTTAAAATACAGGCAGTGGTATTCACCCCATCAAGTTCTAGAAGAATTAAAGACTGTCAAGGCATTGACAAAATTGGTGCCCAATAAGTGGTGGCTCTTATTATTCAAAAGAACAAACTTCTGGCAGCCTTTCTTCCTATTATCCTAGAACTTTTAAATCTTCTCTGTGGCCTTAACACTCTCAAACCATGTGTAGCATCCTGACTAAAGCCTTTTTGTGTATTTTCTCAAAGATCTTAGGATTCCTTGGAAATTTTTAGATAATTTTATGAAAGCAATTTTTTTAACATGTTACATCATCAGAGAATGTAATTTGAGAATTTTTTTTAAAAAAAAAAAAACATTTTTTTCTTTAGTTGTGGTTAGACACAATACCTTTATTTTTTTTTTTTAACGTGGTACTAAGGATTAAACCCAGTGCCTCACGCATGCTAGACAAGTGCTCTACCTCTGAGCCACAACCTCAGCCCCAATTTGAGAGGTTTTTTTTTTTTTTCAGAATAATTAGAAATATTATTTTTATCAAGTCTACAAAATAAGCAGATTTTCCTCATATATGAACCTTTAGTTGAGATAAAATTTTCACACCATTTTTGTCTAAGAAATGTGGTGTTCTGTGGTTCATAGAGCCACATAATGACATAATAAATAATCTAGCTTGAGACCATGAGCCTCCAGAAGAAGAAATGCCCAGTTTACCCAGAAATTTTAAAGAAACTAAGTAAACCCTCAGTGTAATTTCAGTCATTGGTTTCTAACTTGGTAGGATGCCCCTTCTCTCCCTTATTAAGACTCCAGCTAAACTTAGATAAATGAAGGAGTTTAAATAAATTTAATTAGAGTAGTGTGATACAGAAGTTTTATGACATAGAACTTGTCTTCACTTATTCCTAGTACTGTCACCACATAAGTACATTGACTATTCTAGAGTAACTAAGATAATCATAAACCTGAGAATTTTTATGTTTATCACTATAAGATTCCACAATGATTCTGCAAATTAGCCTTTTTATGCTAGTGTCATGCACTCTGGCCTCTGTTTTATTCTTATTTCCTCTGCCACTAAAATCTAGGAAAATACATTTATACCCAGGTAATAGCAGATACTCCCAGCTATCACCTTGGGTAATAACAAACCTACCTTAAGCTGTTGTCACAAATATAAAATAGATATATGGACATTTGTCTAAATCTGTACTCTTCCCACTTGCTAAATAGAAAACACTTCCCTTTCTTATATTGTAGATAATATCACATATTGGCTAATAAGAGAAGGAAGCTCAGTGACATCTTCTTTTAAAGCTAACTTATTTCTTTTAATCTAGTCATTTGAGTTGTGAATGTGGTATGTGGTAGTTCCAAAGAGTAGGAAGTTCAACAGTCTGACAGATACTTAACAGTGTGTGTATGTGGTTTGACATTTTTATTATTGTTATTGTCCCCACCTCTGTTGCACACTTTTTAAAAATAGACCTCCAGGGAGAATCTAACTTAGTAAAATGATTGTGGTATTAGTTATAATATTACATAGCAGGACCACTGAAATCATCAGGCATTATGAAGTAACACTCCGTTATAATGTAGCTCTGAGGCTTGCAAGTATTCCCAATTTATCTAGGCAATAGTGATGACTTGGAAAAATTTATTTTTCATTTTGCCTATTATGTTTCCTTGGCATGGCAAAACTTGAAGTTTCTTTTTCTAAAGCCAAGTGATTTTATAATATGTGTATAAAATCACACATTTTTTCCCCTGGGAAAAAGTATGTTATTTGTTTTTATTTGCATTAAAAACTGCATGCTCTCCTGTATTTTATAACCTTTGGTTTATGCAGGAATATGCTGAATTTCAGTATCGGAGGAGACATAGACAGCAGCGCCGTCGAGGAGACGTGCACAGTCTGCTTAGTAATCCTCCGGACCCTGATGAGCCAAGCGAAAGCACTTTAGGTAAGCTCTTGGGTTCAGCATGGTTTAATATCTTAATTCTCCTGAATTTATTTTTTAAAATTGGCTGATGTCAATATTTTGGGATTTGTAGTTTCAGTAAATGTTCAGATTGTCCTGGGATACAGAAAACCAGGAAGGTTAAGAACACATAGAGTTGGACAGACCTGGGTTTTTGACACTATCGTTGCTGTAAACCAGTTGTATAACTATAGTCAAGTCACTGAAGCTCTCTATGCTTCAGTTTCCTTATTCTAAAGAAACAATAATAGTACCAGTTCGTAGGCTCATTCTTAGCATTAAATTAAGATAATGCTTGTAAAGCACTTCAGCGCCTCCTGAGCACTAAGTAAATTGTCAGTACTGTTATTGTGTTTGTGGAATATTTTTTTCTATTAGTCTTAGTTCTTCTAGAGATGTTCTTTTAGAGATAATTATTTTAATCATTCAACTTTTAAATGTTAAATTATGAGTTAAAATCTTAAAAACTATAACATTAGGATCATTGTGACTAAAAATTAATTTTTTAGGCTATTGTAATTCCAAAATTCTTTAATTTAAAAAAATCTGAAAATGAAAATACCCTTATTTGCGATTACTTAGGAAAAATGAAAGAAGAACGGAGTGTAACATTTGAATTTATGAAGAAAACCATAAGTACACGAGCAAAAGTTGTAAAAACAGTCATGGACTTGAAGTAATGGTATTAGATATATTGTTGCTAGTGGTGAGACAAATATGGCTGAGAAATCCCAGAAAGATTAAGAAAACATGTGAATACAGATTTTCATAGCACTGAAAGAGAAATTCCCAGTTTAAATAAGAAAATGTATGGAAAACAGAAAAAAAAAATCTTACCTATCACTAAATTGCCTGTGGTACCAATTGCTTTGAAGCAGATATTCCAGAGGGTGGCAGTGGCCGCAGGCCTGGAGCGTCTGTGGTAAGTTCTGCATCTATGAGTGTGCTGCACAGCTCTTCGCTGCGTGACTATACCCCTGCCAGTCGCTCTGAAAACCAGGACTCTCTTCAGGTAGCCTTGCTGGGCAGCTTCAGTTGCCCTTTTGCTCATTTCATGTTTAGTGTGATTTCCTGCTTTTACTTTTACAGCTTTCCTTTTTCTTACTTCCATTTTGAAATCTTTGTTTCAAAGATGTGCTGCAAAAAATATATATAATTACTATATTTCTGATTTATCTTATATATTTTTTTCCTTTGCATAGACAAGAAGATAGTTATAAGATTTGAGTAGAACCCTCATTGTTATGCAAAATTACATATAAGATGGTGTGAGGAAGAAAAGAGAGAGAGAGAGAGACAGAGAGAGAGAAAAGTGTCATAGAGTGGGTAGAGAGAGGTGATGGGAGGGGAAGGGAGGAGAGGGGAGGGGGGAATAGGAAGGGTAGCAGAATACAGTAGACACTAATATGGCTGTATATATAAACGTGACTGTAAAACCAATGTGATACTGCACTCTGTACATGTGGAAAAAAAAGAATTCATACCCCACTTGAATCAAATGTATGATATGTCAAGATCATTGTAATGTTTTGAGCAACTAATAAAAAAAAAAGATATGGAATCAGCCTAGGTGTCTGTCAGCAGATGAAATGAGAAATAAAATATATTTTATATATACACACACACACACAAAAAAAAAAGATTTGAGTAGAAAAAAAATAATTTGTATACGTATATTAGTAATATTTGTTATCTGTTAAAGGAAAAGTGGTAAATCTGATTGAGTTGAATTATTTTTCTGTCAGAAGTTTTTAAAGTGGTTTTATTTTCTATTGTCTCAGGCTCTGAGTTCCTTGGATGAAGATGATCCCAACATACTTCTTGCAATACAGTTGTCACTGCAAGAATCTGGGCTGACCATCGACGAAGAAACTAGAGACTTCCTCAATAACGAAGCATCCCTAGGAGCTATAGGCACTTCTTTACCTTCCAGGCTGGACTCTGTCCCCAGGAATACAGATAGCCCTCGTGCTGCATTGAGCAGCTCTGAGCTGTTGGAACTTGGTGACAGCCTCATGAGACTAGGAGCAGCGAGTGACCCATTTTCAACTGACACCTTGAGTTCACACCCCCTCAGTGAGGCAAGAAGTGATTTCTGTCCTTCATCCAGTGACCCTGACTCAGCTGGCCAGGATCCCAATGTCAGTGACAATCTTCTTGGTAATATTATGGCTTGGTTTCATGACATGAACCCTCAGAGCATTGCTCTGATTCCTCCAGCCACTACAGAAATTAGTGTAGATTCTCAGCTCCCCTGTGTCAAAGATGGGTCGGAAGGTGTGAGGGATGTGGAACTAATGCCACCAGAAGATTCAGTGTTTGAAGATGCTGGTGTCAACGAAGGTAGAGGAACTCAGATAGAAGAAAATCCTTTGGAAGAAAATATTCTGGCTGGGGAAGCATCGTCTCAAGGTGATGGGAGTAGTCATGAGGCAGCCAACAAAGGTGATGGTTCAGATGTTTCAAGTCAGACACCCCAAACCTCAAGTGAATGGCTTGAACAAGTACATTTAGTATGAAATGTACATGTCTGGGCTCCAAATGAATTGCAAGTACAGATGGTATGCTAGGTGGAAAAAGCTTTATAGAGACTTTGATCCACTTAATTCCAGCTCAGTTATAAACCACTGATGTTAGGATGGAATACAAAGGAGTTCCCTTGAATGGTAGCTTCATTTTTCAATTTTAACCTTACAGGGAATTTCTTTTGTATTTAACTGGATAGCTGGTCCCCATTTTGCTGAGAAAAAGAATGGCAGGAGAGCAAGAGAAACAAAATGGAATAATTAGGTTGTATTCTACATGCTAAGAAAATGCAGGGCTCTGTTTGCCCTGGAGTTGGCAATACTTGACTTGAACATGGAAATCAAAGGCTTACTCCTTAATCTTTGGATGGCTTTCCTTTAAAAAGGAAGTTTTCTTCATTTTAGAAGTTCATTTTGACAGATCTGATAACATGTATGTCCTCAATCTTTTTGTGCTCTTTCATAACTTCATTCTTCCCTTTTTGTCTGAGCAATGTGAATTGAAGTATCCACAGCTTCTTTAGTGCTGCATCTACCACAGTGTAATTAGTTTTAATTTTCATATGAATCAAAGATTTCTCCTCCTGTCTATTTACAGTCCAATTGTGCCAAACTCTGACTCGTGCGCTGACTGACAAAGCATTGAGGTGTGCAGCATCCTAGTGTACTCCAGGACAGTGTCAGCGTTCTTGGGAGTAAAAGGTGCCACTTGGTAGCAGTGATATTCCAGAATTTCATGGGCTTTTGTTGCCATGGAGACTGTATTTTAAATAAATGTAGCCTGTAGCTTAAGTTAACTAAACCTAATGCTGCTGTTAAAAACAGTTTATTTTAATATTAAAATACAGTTGATTAGCAACAGCGGTGCTGTATTTTAAGAGACACTTTATTGGAAGTGCAATCATAGTTCTTTGTTTTCACAATTTTACAGTGCATTCTAATTACTAATGGGTGCAATTACTTTTAATGGTGTTTTATAAAATAGAAAAAAAGTGGAGTTTTCATGAGTTATAGTAAATCCCACAATTATTAAAAATTCAATAAAACATCCTGCGCAACATGTTACCGTGCCTTTGCCTAACCTAAATGGATAGTTGCCAGTTAATAAGTCAGTAATTCAAATTTCAATGTCTCTTCTGAAGTAACTATGCTATGAATTGCAAAGACCTCCATGAAACCACCCATGGCCTTGCCTTTACAGTAAATATAACAACTAAATGTTCAGTTTGTTTGCCTAAATAGCAAATGCTGACATGTGTTTGTTCTCTTGCACAATACTCATTTGCTGTGTGATTACTGTTTAGTATTGAAAAAAATCAACTTCCTAGTTACCAGTGTCTTACTGTGAAGAAATTACTGGTCTTAGTTGTAATTAAGATACAATGGTACAGTGTGTAATTAAAACTAGAGTAAACTGTTGGAATGGCTGTTTTACTTACATATTATCAAAACTAGCATAACATAAGCAAAATAGATTCGTGCAACACTCCATTTAATGTTTTGCTAGATTGTTACCAGAAATCTACAGAAACCAAAATTTCTGTACTGAGTTTGTACAGGCAAGTCTTAGGCCAGGTAAAAGGTTGTATTAGTATTGGTATTCATGTGAGTTGTGATTACGGTTTTTGATTACTTGTTTTTTCCAATCCCTACTTTTGAAATTTTCTTGTACTTTAAATTCATATGGCCAGGACATTAAAATATAAAGTATTTAAAGTTCCCAGGTTCCTCTACTATATGAGAATTGCTCTTATGCGATGGATAACTAAGGTCCACATTAGTTTTTATTTCTCCAGTTATCAGAAAAATTAATATCAATCCCTATTGAAATTAGTGGGGGAAAATATTAACTTAATCTACAGTGTATTACTGTATATTAAACTGAAATAGTCCATTAAAGGATTTTTTTTACAAATTTATTTTGGATTAAAAATATTAACATTAAGTTTATAGACCAAGTTGTAATTTTTCCAGTAGAGTTCGCATCACATTGAGGCGTCTTGCACAACTGCAGTGAGGTGAGGAGTTCTCTGTGTGAAGGTAGTGTTTGTGGTGGGTTCTGGTTTCCTTGCACCTTGTGCAGTATCCTTTGTTTCTGTGCTGGTCTCTCCTGAGCATGAAAAATGATCGTTATCCAGTTTGTATTTCCTTGGTACATATTTTAAAAACAACACAGTCATTGACTTTACAGTTCAGTAATAAAGTTTGGCAAAGCCTATTTTGTAAACAAGTTAATTTTATAATGTAAAAGAAATTAACCTAATCTTGACTTGTTATTTGCACTTTCATAGTCTATACTTGATACATTCCCACTTTATATACAGTAGGATTCTACAAACGTGTAGATGTTTGGCCAAATGAATGCTGTTAATAATATGTAAAATTCTTTGATTAAACATTTATTACTTAAACTACTTCCATTTTTGTCTCATTACATTATAAACTTTGTTTTAAGCAGGTCAGGGAGCTTAATTTTCTTGAAATTAAATTTCCTCCAATATAGCGTGATTAATTTGGTTCTAACATGTAATTGATTAGTGCCTAATATTTTTACACTAGCCCACTTACTGAGCATTTTGTATCTCAGAGATAAACCCAGTAACACTGTATAAAGATGTGTTAAAACATGACTTAAATGCTCATTTTATTTTCATCGCTATACCTTTAAGAGAAAAAAAATTATGCTTTTTCTGTAAAATCTCAATAAAATCTCTAATAGAAACACTGAGAAATATAGAATGTAAGCCATGTTTTGTGAAATTGCTAGAAAAGGAAAAAATTTAGCCTTATGAATAAAAATGCCTGCTTCTCCACCAAAATTTTAAAAAAGTATTTTATCCCTTCTGAATTACCAAAACAACCTTGTGGCATATGACCTTCAGTACCTACATGTAAGTTCTAGGCCACCAGCTGGTGTTTCATGGGGTCTGCCATTGGTTATCACTTAACAGTCATGTTTTATTTATGACTTTCAATATGTAGATCTGAAACTTAGCTACCAATGTCCATATGCTTAATTATCCCTTAAATGTTAATTATAGTCACTGATCTCATTTTCTTTTTCTCTTTTTAATCCTAAATATTTTGTCACTTACCCTGTTATGAATTAAAATCTGAGACTTGTTGAGGTTTGGTTGTAATGTTAAACAGTCATTACAGTTAGTATATCTCTAAAGAGTAAAATCTTGGAACCTAAATATTAAATCATAATATAAATTTGGGGATTTTTAAAAAGCTATAATGATTTCATAGAAAAAATATTTCCATGGGCTCAGCCACCGAGTGGTAATTTCATCTCAGCATTCTGCCAAGGGGGTAATTACTGGATCTCCTTAGCGACACTATACTGTTGTCTCTTCAGTTCTTATGACTTTCTCATCAGAATAGATTTCTTTCTAGAAAGAAGTGGCTTTTTTCTAGACTATTTTATGATAGTCCTTATTTTAGGAACTGGCAGTGGTACTAGTTATTAAAGAAAGGTGGACCAGAAAAGTTTCCTGTACTTCTCAGTTTCACATTCAATGACATTAGGCTGGCAAACTAACCAAGCTTTTGAAGAAATTGTTCTTTGGTCTTTGAAACTGTAATTGGACAGTATTCTTGATCAGGCTGTCTGTCATCTGTCATCTCTTAGCCTCTTGTATAACTGTATATCCTGCTCTGCGTGCCAAGACTGCAAGGCCTAGACAATTTTGCTTGGGCCATCTCTCAGGATTTATGTAACTAGTAACCCTGAGGAAAAGGAGCAGGCTGAACTGCTTGCTATAAAAGTGGTGAATTCTTCATGCTGTTTGGCTGCAGCATGAACCCACTCAGTCCCTGTAGACATCCAGGCCCATTGTGTTGCCCCTGTGAAGCTGGAGACATGGGTAACTGATAAATGTGATGTATAATCTGCATGCTGTGCCACAAGTGATAAAAAGTCCTTTGCCTCTGACCCAGGAGTCTTGTGTCTTTTGTCAACATATATGAGACAGTGACAGGCAAACTTACTGACTTATAAGTAGGGTCAAATGAAGGTCTATACCCTGGAATTTGGGCAACAAGCATGGAATGCTGGCAGAGACAAAGTTTTCTGGAAAACAAATCATGGGCCATGGAGAAGTAACCATGACACTGTAAGACTCCCAGAGCCCTGGTAATGAAGGCTCTCAACCAAGTGATGAGGATGGGGGAGACTAAAGGTTCCCACTGTCCTACCTGTTGACGAATAGATGTTGAACTAATGTTTAGTGGTTTAGTGACCAGAGATATTATTGAAACAAGTTATCTAAATGTTACCTTGATTGTGACTGTAGCAGGCAGAGAATGGTATGTTATGTTTTCATGACAAGTTGTCGGAAATTGTCTCTCTAGCTAAAAGGTAATATGGCTATGGCTGCTGAGTCAAGGAGTCTCCAAACATAAAATGGTCTCCACAATAAAACGTTGATATTTGAGAGCTGTGAGTGGGCTGAAAATATTAGAAAATCATTGGGTTGAGCCACAAGCTGCACTGTTCAAATGCAAAGCCAGATGTGCAGAGCAGGCTATAGGCACAGTGACCCTGGCCTCTGCCACCACTTACTTAGCCAACTAGGAGGACAAGGCTCTGGGCACAGAAGCCTGTCCCTTGCTGTCAAGGGAAAGTAGTCGTCAGTGTTCAAGCACTGACCATGGAGCTAAAGAAGAAAAAGGGTGACACTTGCATCCTCTTCTGCCAACCGGGGCTCCCCACCCATTGCCATCTGTCATTCCACCACGTGTAGTCGCACACATCTTGAGCTTCTTGGTCTGTTGCTGTAGTGGAAATGGATTTGAGATGTGCTTCACAATGGGGAAGGGAAGCTAAAAGGGCCTGGTGGGTGAGATCCTCTGGGAGATTCAATCTAATAATGTAGCTTCCAAATCTGAATGAATAAAGGAATTGGCATGTTCTATACCTGCACTTAACCGGTTTCAAATAATTGTCAGTGGGATTCCCCTTTCAGAGGCTGCCACATGAAGAGATGTGGGACATGTAAACTGCTCCTCCACCTGTCTTCTTATCCCCTTCCTGCTGGTCCAGCAGAAACAATATAGAAATCAGGAGAAAAGGAAATTGCTGCTTTAGTTGAAGATCTGGGCAGAGGGGGCCATCTGCAATCCCAGCAACCATAGAGGCTGAGGCAATTTCAAGGCCAGCCCCAACAATTTAGACAAAGACCCTGTCTCAAAATAAAAAGGACTGGTTATATAGCTCAGGGGTAAAGCACCCCTGTTTTCAATCCCCAGTATCTTTCCCCCCTCATAAAAGACCCAAGGGAAGAGAGGAGGGGAGGAAAGATGGTATATACTAGAGAATAAAACCCCCATTGCTTTATATACATATATGAATATTTCACAAGGAATCCCACTATTACGAGTAATTATAATGCGCCAATAAAAATGAAGTTTAAAAAATAAGAACAATGGTTGGTCAGCACTCAGACGTTTTTCCAGCACAATATCGCCACCTGCCTGACATTTTCAAAAGTGCAGCTATTAACCTACTACTAAGCTCTTGAAACTTGAATGCCTGGCCCATGGAAACTGACTTGCTGGCCTGACATCTTGACTTTGGGGTAGATCAGCTCTAATTGGAGGATTAAAAGAGATGGAAGGAGTCCAACAGACCTTGATAGCCAAATAGGAAGGGTATATTTGAGAGTACAGGTAGCATGGCCCTACCTATAGTGTCTCCATTTTACCTTAAAAAGTATAGATAACGCCTTTGGATGAAATTGTGTTCCCACATCCACTGCCTGAAGCAAAGCCAGTAGCTTAGTGGAGAGCCCAGTTCACAAAATAACTAAGCTTAGTTCAATTGCTTGTCAGCAGTTTCTGCCAAGTCCCAGCAAGAATCTTTTTACTTCTTTACTAACTATAGATTATTCTAAAGTTTATATGGAAAGACAAAGGAACAGGAATAGCAAAAACAATCTTGAAAAAAAGTTGTAGAAATCACTCTATTTCAAAAGTACAGTAATCAAGACGATATAATACTGGTGAGAAAATAGATACAGATCAATTGAATGAGATACAGAACCAGAAATAGCCCTACACAAAAATTTTCTTTTTTTTTTAATATTTATTTTTTTAGTTTTCGGTGGACACAGCATCTTTGTTTGTATGTGGTGCTGAGGATCGAACCCAGGCCGCACGCATGCCAGGTGAGAGCACTACCGCTTGAGCCACATCCCCAGCCCCCAAAATTTTCAATTGATTATGATTAAGTTTCAAAAGGAGAAAATATAGGCTTTTCAACAAATGATTCTGGAACTATTAGTATAAGGTAGGCAAAAATATGTACTTCTGCCTAATCTCACACTTTATACAGAACTTGAAATAGATTATAGATTTAAATGTTATATAAAATTAATGTGGATTATAGATTCATAGGCAAGCAAAAGTCTCTTTGTAAGAGTCTTGGGTAGCAGAAATGTTTAGACTTGATACCAAAAACATAATCCACTTAAAAATTATTAAATTGAACTTCATCAAAATGTAAAACTTCTTGTTCTGTGAGAGACCCAATGAAGAAAATGAAAGACAAGCTAGAGCCTGGGAGAAAATACTTTCAAACTGCATGTCTGACAACTCATTCAAGATATAAAAAGAACTTTCAAAACTAAACAGTAAAAAGACAAATAATCCAATAAGATGAACAAAGAATGAAGAGACTTCACCAAAGAAGGAAAATGATCATTACCTAAAAAGATGTTCAATATCATCTGGAAAATGCAAATTAAAATCACAATAAGACACCACACACCTATCAGAATGACCAAAGTATTAGTGTCAGTATTTAATGTGGGCAAGGATACAGAGAAACTGGACTGTTCATACATTGCTGGTGGGAAAATAAGATGGTACAGCCACCCTGGAAAATAAGTATATACTTACCATATGATCTAACACTTGCATTTATGGGCATTTATCACAGGAAAATGAAAAACATTATGTTCTGTACATGATTGTTCATGGTTGCTTTATTTATAATAGGCCAAGACTGGAATCCACCCAAATGTAGTGGATGAATGGTTAACTGGTAATCCATGTAATGAAAAGTACTCAGCAATAAAAAGGAATGAACTACTAATATCACTTGGGTAGATCTCAGGGACATAATGCTGAGTGGGAAAAAAAAAAGCCAATCTCAAAACTGTCACATTCTGTATTATTCAATTTAGATTATATTTTCAAAATAGAACAATAGAGATGGAAACAAATGAGTGATGGCCAGGGATAGGGGTGGGGTGGGGGGAACAATTAGGGACTTGTATGTACCATAAGGGGAATAGCTCAGTATATTAGTACTAGCTGCATGAATTTATACTTGTTAAAAATCTCATGTAAGAACAATACAAAAAATGTCAATTTCCTGATTTGATACTATGGGTTATAAAGAGATAATTGGAGGAAACTGGGTGAAGGGTATACAGGGTCTCTATATTAGCAACTTCCTATGAGTCTATAAATTATTTCAAAATTTAAAAATTAAAAGATGGCCTGCTTTAGGGCAAAAAAGCAAATATTATCTTAGTACCTAATCAGCATCAATGCTACTATAACTTGGGAACCATTGAAGATATCTTTAACAGTTGATTCATGTGTTTCATAAACTTTAAGCATGATATTAAAACTGCCAGCATTCACTTTCCATAATAATGTCAAATGAATGCCACTGTGTTTTGGCTATTGGCATTTGAGCCTATGAGTTCCAAGTGGTTTTACAAAGAACTTGACAGCTGGGTGAGGTGGCACACACTTGTAATCCCAGTGGCTCAGGAAGCTGAGGCAGGAGGATCACAAGTTCAAAGCCAGCCTCAGCAAAAGCAAGGTGCTAAGCAACTCAGTGAGACCCTGTCTCTAAATAAAATACAAAACAGGGCTGGGGATGTGGCTCAGTTGTTGAGTGCCCCTGAGTTCAATCCCTGGTACCCCCCCCCGCCCCCACCTCAAAAAAAGAACTTGACTATGCACTGCCTTTACTATCAGCGGTTTTACCACCATCCTTTTGTGTATGGAGAGATGTGCTCATCAAACTAGGCCTAGAACTAGATGAGGATTTGGGTAAATATAGAGAACAAAAGGTAAAAGTAAATTATAGGTTTAAAAAAAAGTAGATTTGAATGCCTACATTTGTGGGTTTTATAGAATATGTAACTTAAACACTTCTATGAATTCTCCACTGGCCAGTAGTCTTCCATTATGCTTCTATGGACATCTTGAGTTGATTTACAGATCTGCTATACATCACTGGATTTGGGGCCACTTCTAATATGTTCAAATTGTGGACTGTACTCTCAAAAGATGAATTACTATTATTGAAAGCAAATCAATTTACCCACTCATTTAATAGACTGACCTTAATAGCTGTATGTTGCTTAGAGCCTGTACTAAATGCACAAGTCAAAAGACTGTCTCAGGGCTGGGGTTGTGGCTCAGTAGTAGAGCGCTTGCCTCTCATGCATGGAACACTGGGTTCAATCCTCAGCAACACATAAACAAATAAAACAAAGGTATTGTGTTCATCTACAACTAAAAAAAAAAATTTTTTTTAAAGTCACAGAGCCAGGTATGGTAGCGCAGGCCCCTGATCCCAGCAGCTCAGGAGGCTGAGGGAGGAGGATCACGAGTTCAAAGCCAGGTTCAGCAACTGGGAGGCACTAAGCAACTCACTGAGATCCTTTCTCTAAATAAAATACAAAATAGGGCTGAGGATGTGGCTCTGTGCTTGTGAGTGGCCCTTGAGTTCAAACCTCGGTAACGGAGGGGAAAAAAAAAAAAAAGACTGTCAAAGAAGCATTAGGCTTTTAACCACTGAGCCACATCCCCAGCCCTATTTTGTATTTTATTTAGAGAAGGGTCTCACTGAGTTGCTTAGCGTCTCAGCCTCCCAAGCGGCTAGGTTTACATGCGTGCACCACTGCACCTGGTTTAGGGCTTCTTTTAATCAAGTCCCCGTTTCTACTGGCACATACAGTTGGCTCCCACATTAGGCTGCGCGTGGTTGGGAACATTGCTGAGATAGCGGAAATGCCCGGTGCTGTGCTGGGACAGCAGAAGCTCAAGAAAGCAAGTAGCCTATTATATGCTTGAAGGTTTTCTTGATACCCAAGAGGATATGCAAAACATCAAGCTTCCCAATTGCATTTACTTTCTTGTATGAAATTAATTCACTGTGACTTCAATACCAAAGGCTTTGGCAGATGCATACACAGTAATGTTTGTTTAAATATCTAGACCCACGACCTTTGGAGGATGCTACAGAATTTTTTTCCGAGTGGCTTTAGGTCTACTTGTTCACATTTCAGAATTGAATCCCAAATTCCAAAACTTTCTGATGATAGTAATAACAGATTGCAAAATGCAATAGGAAACTCTACTAGAGTCCCTTCTGAGAGTCACTATAAACAGAAAATAGTAAGACAGAGTGAATTTGAAACAAGAAAAAGGTGTCTGGGACTGTGAATAGTGCTTGCACCGACTCGAATGTCTTCCTTGAGATCTTTAGATTCAGTTAAATCACAGCCTTATTTCAGTACTTGTGATAGAGGAGAAAAGAGTAATCACGGAGCTCTCTGGCTGACCTTCACGTGCACAACCCATGGCAGCCGGATCAAACCTCCAGTGCAAAGCCCTGCCCTCAGCCTGTCCAAGGCCATCCCGTCCTCCTATCCCTACTCATGTTGACTTTTCCCAATTTCTAGCACCTTCATTTTTCTTCTGCCCTCAAACATTTTCTCCCTATCCTGAAAAAAAATCCCTCCTGAAAAATCAAGTAACAAAAGCACAACTTTCACCTGCCCCTGCTATTCCTCCTCTCCCTGCAGGTGAACCTGGCAGACATTTCTCAGGGCTTTGACCTTTTGTTTCACATCAGCCATTCCTGCCCTGAAATCTGGGCTCTTTCCAGTCTGGTCGTGGGCAAATCCACTGGCCTTATTCTTAGTTTTATTGTGCTTGACCTTTTAAAAAAAAAAGGTGACTCAATATCTTTGTTTTTGTGGTGCTAAGGATCGAACCCAGGGCCTCATGCTTGCTAAGCGAGCACTCTACCACTGAGCCACACCCTAGTCCTGTGCTTGACCTTTTGATGATAGAAAGCCTCTAAATTAATGGTAGCTGTAAATTAATGATAGCTGTGCTGTTCCAACACCTCCCTTGGATCTCTGGTTGGCCTTCAAAATGCTATGCCATCGCTGTTCTTATGTTTTACTGTCCAACACCCTTCTTCTTCCTTCCATCTCTGAATTTTGGCATTCTCACCATTGGTTTTTTTGGGCTCTCCTTCCTTCTCATTCCTGGCAGTTGCATCTGATCTCACAACCTCAGTTCTCACCAAACTCTGATGGCCTCCTATTTTGAATCTCTAGCCCTGAGCTCCTGCTCCCCAAACAGCCAAGTTAACATTCCCTCTGTTTCTACATGTTGAAATTATTTTTCACTTGCCTCATAACACCCCAAGCCATTTCCTACTTTCTTGAGATGGCCTTATTTTAGTGACAATTACCCACAGTAAAAACTAGGACATTCCTCATGTCCCCTGCACTGCAGATCCACCCTATCGGACATGAACTTGTCCATTTTCTGGATCATACATCGTTAGCTCATTCTACCCTGAGTTCTGTTGTTAGTGCCTTCAGCCTAGGTTATTGCAGTAGCCCTTGCTCCACCCCCTTCCTCTCCAATAGCTCCTTCTCTACCTTCACCCACCCACCATGACCAGGCTCATTCCCCTAAAGCAGTGTCTTCACCAGGACACTACAATCAAAACCTGATGTAACACTATAAAGCCTGAAATCCTCCAGCCTTTGAGAATTACTTGAGGTCCTTCTGACACCACCATCCTCTACATAAATTTTTTTCTGTAGCTCCTCCCCCAGACCTCCTGAAGTCCACCAGGAGCCCACCTGCTCACTGCCTTTGTTCATGCCACAGCCTTGCGCTCTTCCTGCTGGGGGAGCAACAAAGCCTGGCTGGCCCAGGGCCTGCAAGTTGTGAGAATCCAGGAGGGACATCAAGATCTGTATGGCCTATGACCTTCTGGAACATAAACTGGTTGTATAAGATATCTATAAATAAAAAGGTTATGGACTTCATTTTTAATGTACCTAGAGCTTGAGTTTTGCAAAATAAAAAGACTTTGGGAGATTAGTTGCATGATAATTTAAATAAACTTGATGCTATTAAACTGTATACTTAAAATGGATAAGGAAGTAAATTTTATTTATATTTTGTCACAATTAAACACACAAATTAAGTTTAAAACATAGGACTTCGTAGGAAACCAGTTGTCCCACGCAATCAGAGGAATGGTCTCTGAGTCAAGCCCAGAACTACAGGCATGATGGTGACAAGAGCAGCTATGCTCTGACCTGAGCCTTTTGTGGACAGTAACTTGAAGTTGATTCTCTTTCAATCCCACTTGTAGATGTTATTCTCTCCCATCTGACTGGAGTCCAGGATAAAGGCAGAGTTCTTTGATTTGTTTGTGTGTTTATTTTTTGGTACTGGGGATTGCATTCACGGGTGCTTTACCATGAGCCACATCCCCAATCCTTTTTTAAGTTGCTTAGGGCCTCATTAAATTGCTGAGGTTGGCCTCAAACTTGCAATCTTCCTACCTCTTTCTCCCAAGTCTCTGGGATTACAAGCCTGTGTCACTGCACCCAGCTTTTTGGTTCATCTTACTGTAAAATAAGAAGATACATTGCTGGGAGCAGTGACACACACCTGTAATCCCAGCAACATGAGAAGCTGAGGCAGGAACATGGCAAGTTTGAGGCCAGCCTCAGCAACTTAGCAAGACCCTGTCTCTAAAAAAAAAAAAAAAAAAAGGGTGGGGGAGTTCTAGGGGTATAGCTCAGTGGCAGAGCATCCCTGGGTTTAATCCTCAGTACTGCAAAATAATACACCAACATATTCCCACAAAATGCTCACATCAAGAGTAAAGAAAGAAGCAACTTTAAATTTCTGTAATCCATTTTATTCATGTAGAGAGATGTGTACAGAAATGGTGCCTGGAAAACTTGAACAAAATAATGGGCATCTTACAAATATTTTAAGTATGATACTCATTTCTTTGAATTTATAAAAATCTGAAATGTCCTCCAAAAGTTTTGCTATGTGAGAGTGGAACTAAAAGTAAGAAGAATAGCAACAGCTACCTTTAAATGCTTAACTTTGACAAACAAAAATGTTCTTAAATATTGTTTTTTTAAATAAAAGGGTTTAGGAAGTGGTAACCTTTGCGTGTCTGAGCCTGGCAACACGTCACAAGTGTCCCTCCTTCCTGCTTCTCAGCACAAGCTAGCCTTGGCTGGACCACTACCGTCCCAGTCCAATCAGTTGCAAAATAAAAATGAAGAGGTTGATGATATCCAAGTAGATGTTCAGGGCAGCAAAAACGTATTCTTCTGGGTCCAGGTCAGAGTGGTGATGACGCCCTCCCACCATGAGCTGCACATCCATCACCAGGTACTTAAAGGAAAGGAAGAAGAATTAGCTACTTCAATCGTACCTGTCTATCAAACCAAATGTCCTAAATGCTCTAGAAAAAAAGCTATTTTACCTATGTCACAAAAATACTCTAGAAAGTCAGTTTTGGGCTGAATATATTACTCTTTCGGCATCAATCATTCATGAAGTCCCCAAGTTTATACTCTATAAAACCAAGTGCCTTATCTTCCTGAAGCCTGTGGGACCAGATCTGAGCCAAATCCAAAATCTTTGTACCTTTGGTTACTTATGTGGACCCAGTGGACAAAGTAGACACAGAGATTAAACTACCAAATGCCTTCTATTCATGATTTCCTTCCATGTCCTTGCTAAACAAATAATCAAAGAGCTTCCCAAACACTTGATTCACACAGTAAAAATAAATCTGAATTCATGGAGCTTTGGGTAACAGCAAACCTTGCCACTGGGGATGGTTTAGTAATTAATGGTGCTTGTATATCCAAAATAGAAAGAGGAAGAGAGGGGACTCCCATGTGATTAAGGCATTCCCTAAAGAAAGGTTTTCGTTCAGCTGCAGTAGGTAAAATTATCAGGTCTTAAAAAATGTCAAGATTTTTTTAAAAGTCACCGTGCCTCTCTCATTTTTGTGTTTGCTGCAAAGTGAGCAGTTACTTATATCCAGAATCTAGGCCAAATCTCCAACACTGAAAGTAAAGAGAATCCTTGGAGTTTTAAAGATTTTTTTTTTTTAAGGGCTGGGGTTGTGCCTCAGAGGTAGAGTGCTTGCCTAGCATGCATGGGGCACTGAGTTCCATCCTCAGCACCACATAAAAATAAAATAAAGATATTGTGTCCACCTATAACTATAAAATTTTTAAAGATTTTTTAAAGGATAGATTTGAGAGCAATATTCACTTCAGTGAAACCTTTCCCAAGGAGTTCAGGAGGAAGAGGGGGGAGAGGGGAAATGGAGGGGAGGAACAGGATGAGTTATTGGCTACTTCCTGGGCAGCCTCACACCAGGTTTATGGCAGGTGCTATCTCACGTAGTGTGGGAACGACCCAGTGGCGGTGGGCCAGATTTCACTGAGTCTTGGTTATATTAGTGCATCTCTGAGGGAGATGCCAGAGCAGGTGTCTCACCTGAAGTGCTCAGTCCCTTAGCCCTTTATCCCTAGGTCTCATCTGAGCACCTTTGGAAGGAAAAACAGCTAGAGTGGCCCATCCTTCCAATTCTCCCAGGATTTTTAGGTGGCCTTGGAAACACTTCAGTCCTAGACAAACTGGGACATTTCATCACTCAAAAGGAGCTGAGCATTCATCTCTCATCCTGGAGCCCTAACTCCTTTGCAGAAGTGCTTTTCTCTCTTTCTTCCATCCAAAAAACCCTGAATTTATCTTGATCTTCTTACAAGAGGGGATTATGGAGTCTTAATGATTCTGCAGGCATGAACTGGTTGGTTAGGAGTGTGGATTCTCAGGAGAGGTCATGTGTTCGAGGGCAGACAGGAAAGTGGGGGAGGAAGATGAGCAGAGATCCAGCTGCTCAGCCTCCTCCAAGGAGACCAGGGCTCAAGATCCCATTGAAGACACAGCCAACACACAGGGAAGCCCCAGCTAGGATTCAGACTCCCACTCCCAGGAGCATTTGGAAGTGTGGTACCCTGCCTCACTCCCTATCACAACTCTGATGGTTAAAACACACACACTCAGTTTTCTCCTCCAGCTGTATGTCTGGTGTTGAGTGACCACCCTAAGCCTACAAGAGGTTTTGCTCTGCCTGCATGTAGGAAACAGAACATCAGTATATTTTACATGGAAACAAACTGACCAAATGGGCCATAAGAGACACCACAGCAAGCACCAACACACAAAGGCTGAGCACATGGGAGCATAGGAGGATGGGCACAGATCAATTCCTATTACAAGAAAAGAAATGAGAAAACTGCAATGTGTGTCCTGAACTTTAATCCCTGGGTGTAAACTTTTCCAACATTTAAAAGATACGACAAAATTCCAACAACAACAGCAAAAAGACAAATGATAAACCAAAACATGGATGGTTTTAAAACTTGTTGATAATATATGGGATTCATTTTACCATTCCCTCTACTTCTGATTGTATCTGGAAATTTCCAAAATAGAAAAAACCTAATGAATGAGATGTACCTCAATTGTTGAGTGCTTGCTCCATATGCATGAGGCCCTGGATATCAGCCCCAGCACTGCAAAAAAAATAATAAATAAAATAATAAGAAAATCCCTGAAAGAAGTGACAAGATAAAAGTGATGGAAAAACCTGGCAGCCCTGAAAAAGAGTGAGCTTGACCTAGGTCTGCCAGTATATGGAGACCATCACGTCTAAGTGAAAAGGCCAAAGCAGAACATTATATATAGTGTGTCCATAGTACTGCAAGAGGAAATGGTGCTCATGTGGCAAAAAAAAATTCTGAAAGGATTCCCAGAAATTACTTACAGTGGTACCTCTGAGGACCAGGGAATCAGAGAGAGATCTTATCATTTTGTAGTCTTCTATGTTGTTTGCATTTTAAAACAAATGCATGTAATACCTTTTAAATCAAATATTCCTTGAAATAATTGTGAAGATATGAAGCAAGAGACAGGTCAAAATGGAAGGAAAATTTTCCAGATGCATTGACAGTGACCCTGGCCAGTCCCCATGAAAAGTCCATGTTATGCAAGAATAGAAAAGAGACTGATCTAAGAGAGAAAATGAAATCACACCCTGCTACCATAAGTACCGAGGCTTATAAATAACCCTTTGTTCTCTTCTTACATATTGACTCTTTGAGGAAAAGCAATGTTTTTGTGGACTGGGAAGGACCATCAACTCTCCTGGGGGTGATGGTTTTAAATATGACCTTATAAGAGGCAGCAAGTTGCCCAAGGGTTTCTAGTGAATTACTCACTCCACATGAGTAGCACAGACAGCACGTTCTTCAGCAAGGAGAGGGAGAGACGGACTTACCATGGAGAAGAGCACGGTTCCGAGTCCAGCATACAGCACTGCAGCCACTGCGGAGAGAAAGAAAACAGTTGTAGCTTAAGAACAAGACTTTGGAATAACCAAAGGGATTTGCTTAGGTCACCGCTGATGGGTAAGGACCCAATATCAACAAGAAAGTCGAACAGAGTCAACAGCATCCACTCAATTCCAGTAAATAAGCAAAAGAAAACCAACCTCACACATGCCAAATAATTTTCCATGAGTAAATGCTGAATGTCTCATGCATGGCAGGGCAAGGAGAATGTGTTGGACATGTTCTGCTTTTGCCTCATCCACACATCTACATGTGTGAGGCTCTAGAGAATCCACCCTCCCTAGCTAAAGGCTGTGATGAGAGGTGGAAGACACCCACTGTGGAGACAGTGACTCTGCCAAGTGGTCAAGAAATTCTGCTCTGTAACTGGGCTTAGCAGATGTGCCAGTCAGAAATCAATTCCCCGTCTAGAGGGATCCAAGCAGCACAGGCCGTTGTCATCAGCCAGGGCTGGAGATCTGCTACACAAGTAGAGATGGTCGGTCATGCCAGCCCCAGAGAGGAAGGCAGAGTTTGTGTTCCTGCAAACCCAGCTCTTCTTCCCACCTAGGAGTTCCATGAGATTCTCCAGGTCATTGCCTTAAGCTAGTCTGAATGGGATATGTTCCTCGCAGCCAAGACACTCCTGACCAGAATATGGAACTAGTCTAAACACCCAAGGTTTGACTCCTGGGAAGAGGACAAGGCAGAGGTGTACAACCCTGAGAACAATATGTCAAACTCTGCAGCCGGAGAGAGCTGGGCCTGGGAGGGGTGGGCAAGTGCACTCTGCTGGCCCGCAAGGTTCATGGTGCAGAAGGGAGACTGGCAATAGGTGACACTATCTGGAGGCCACAAGAGTTCCAGACTGTTCTTTTCAAGAATGTGCTAAGAGTTCAATGTGCCTAGGTCTGACAGATAGCAAGATCTCAATGAATATATTAAAGGAAAAAAATCTGGACTGGGACAAGGAGCCTCCTCTCGGCTGCTATTGGGACATGTCAGAGGGGACTCTCTCTTCCATACTCCTTCCTTCAAACAGGCTACACCTGTATACAGGAGAAGACAGCTCCTGCCAGTAGCTTTACCTCAAGACCCTCTTGGGGAAGGCCAACAACAGTATAGAGTAGGCTCAGTATTCGCAGACTCCATCCCCTGCCCACAGTACCACCCAGTGATGTCAGTGTGGCTGTCAATAGGACAGACCTCAGGGACCTTCAGCTCCCAGGAGGGGAGCACAGTGACCTTGAGGCTGCTGGGCCGTGCAACTTACATCAGTTTGTCTTAGGCATTGGCCCGTCATTGGCTGGGAACAGCAGGGCCCTTCCTGGGAGGTAGGGGATGAAGGCCTTGTGTCCCCCAGACCACACCACATCTAGAATGTTCTGCCCAAACTCCCTTTGTTCTCCTGCCCGTGGGACCATTTATGCTGGCTGGTCCGACAGCTCTCCCACCCTGCATCAGCGCCCTCCTTCCCTTTTTCTCGCTTGGACATTTCTCATCTGAAAATCCTGGCATGCTCCCAACTCCACGTCTGCTCTCAGAGGACCCAGACTGACACAGTCAGCCCTACCTACATCCATCCTCTTTCTTTTTAATTTTTTTTAGTTGTTGGTGGACCTTTATTTTCTTCATTTATTTATATACAGTGCTGAGAATTGAACCCAGAGCCTCACACGGGTTAGGCCAGCGCTCTACCACTGAGCCACCCACCCCTCAGCCCTCCACCCGTCACAACAGCTCTCTGACATTTCCAAACGGGAGCCCACTTACATATGATCCTATGAAGATTAAGAGAATTCCATAGATTACAAGTACGAAGAGGAAAACGAACAGCATTCCGTTTAGCAAGGTAAAATCCCACTGGGGAAACAACAGCTCAGTTATCGTCTGCAAGGGATTTCTGGGGGTTCAGAGATTCATTTTTAACCCCATAGACAATTTGCCCTGACCAATTCAGAAAACCATGGAAACCCATTAGTGCCAACCACTGAAAAATGCTACATAAAAAGTGTCATATTGACTGGGATTTCCTTCTGGAGGGAGAAAAAGGAAGGAGCATGAATGAAATGATAGAAGTCAAGAGTTGGTGATCCCTAAAACTGTAGGTGATAAGTAACATGGGGTTCACTATGCCGTTCTATTTTTATATTTATATGAAATTTCCCCTAGTAAAAAGGGTTCACTGGAAAAATGATGTGAATTTATGTGGATAGTAGTATCATGATTATTCACATTTTTAAGAATATATGCATAGAAAACATTATGGAATGAAATATACCAAGATATCAACTGGGAATCTTTTTCATGTTTAAATGCATATATTTTAATGAAGATATATACTAAGTTTTCAAAAATTGCTGTTCTTTTTTAATTTTGAAATTGATTAATGCGACTTTTCTTATTTTTGTCTTTATAAACCAGCTTAGGCTGATCAGGGGCTTTTTTAAAAAAAATTTTTTGTAGTTGTAGATGGACAGAATGTCTTTATTTTATGTATCTATAGTGCTAAGGCTCACACCCAATGCCTCACACATGCTAGGAAAGCATACTGCCACTGAGCTATAGCCCAAGCCCCCCTTTCTTTTCTTTTTTTTTTTTTTTAAAGAAAAGGGATAACATACTCATCTTCTGCCTGGGGGAGGAAATAAATTATGCAGCAAAAGAAGAGCCTCAATTTCCAAAATATCCTAAGTATTTTCTTGCATTACCCCTCTTGCCCCCTACCCTGGAAATGCCCAGAGAATAATCTAAAGCACTGGTTCCCTAAGTGTGGGTCCCAGACCTGCAGCATCCATTAGCACCACCTGGGAAGTGCTGGACAGGCCCCACCTCAGACCTGCTGACTCAACAACCTTGGGGCAGGGGACTGGCAATGTCTCAACAGGCCCTCCAGGGGATTGGGAGTAACTTTGTCTAGAACTGTACCTTCAATAAGACAACCACTAGCCACCTGTGGCTGCTATACACCTGAAATGTGGCCAGTCCAAAATGAAATATGCTCTAAGTATAAAATACACACTAGATTTTGAATTTTAACTCTCAAAAAGAATGTTAAACATTCATATTTCTGTTATGTGGATTGCATGTTGAAATAGTGACATTTCCTATATATGGGCTTAAATAAAATATATTGAAACTAGTTTCCTTTCTTTTTTTTTCCCATATTGTTTATTGGTGCAGTGTACTTTTATACAATGGGGGGGGTCACCTGTTTCTTTTCACTTTTTAAATGTGTTACTAGGAAATTTAAGACTGTCTTATTATATAACTTGGATGGTGTCTGACGGCATACTCCTCTTGACCAGAGGATCTACAGAGTAGTCAACTTGGCTCGTAACAGTGACACCTTAGGCCTGGTCCTCCTTAGTGGAAAGGAAGACAACTGGAGTGAGGTTAATTCAGATGGGGAGCCCTGTTGGCTCTGAACAGACCTGAGATCAACAGGTGCTAAGTCACACCAGTGGGGGACTTTCAGCTCTAGAGACCCACAGAGAGCACAGCAACCCTGGGATCCAGGTGCCCATCATTCAGGAACAACGATGGGTCATGGCATCTCTGCCCCCTACCCTCTCCTGGGCCAGTGCCAAGAGCTCACAAGAGCCATACCCTCACCCTAAATTCCCAGACTCCATTTTAGAGAGTAAAGAAGGAAAAACCGGAAGTGGTACAAATGGTACTGTGGCCAGGCATGGTGGCACATGCCTGTAATCCCAGCAGCTTGGCCAGCCTCAGCAACAGTGAGGTGCTAAGCAACTCTGGGAGACTCTGTCTCTAAATAAAATACAAAATAGGGCTGGGGATGTGGCTCAGTGGTCAAGTGCCCATGAGTTCAATCCCAGGTACCCTCCCCGCACACACACATACAAAAAAGTATTCTGGGGCTGGGGATGTGGCTCAAGCAGTAGCGCGCTCGCCTGGCATGCGTGCGGCCCGGGTTCGATCCTCAGCACCACATACAAACAAAGATGTTGTGTCTGCCGAAAACTGAAAAATAAATAAATAAATATTGAAATTCTCTCTCTCTCTCTCTCTCTCTCTCTCTCTCTTTCTTAAAAAAAAAAAAAAAAAAAACCAAAAAAGTATTCTGGCATTTTAGAATATTTTTAAAAAATATTTTTTTTAGTTTTAAGTGGACACAATATCTTTATTTTATATTTTTATGTGGTGCTGAGGATCAAACTCAGTGCCTCAAGCATGCTAGGCAAGCCCTCTACCACTAAGCTACAACTCCAGCTCCTAGAGGGTTTTAAATGGTTAAATGAAGTTATGCTTTCCTTGGTGGCCCACCTCACTCACCTCAGGAGGGCATATCTGTTTACAAAGACGCTGGTTTCTGCAAATGGCCAGTTTTGACATGGCAAATATCACGCTGATAATGAATTAACACTTCTAATACATTTTGACCAAATATTTTAGCAGGCCTTTCTGCCTCTCTGTTGCTTCTTCCTTTTTCTTCCAGAAAAAGCTAAAATTCTTCATGTATATAAGACACTCCCTACCATGCCAAACGATTGGAGAAAAACACTTCTAAGTTATTGAACTAAGACAAATCCATCATTTGCCAAAAGAAGGTCGCCAGAGCTAAAGAAAGGGCTGCTGGAAATATCTCACCAACTCCAGGAGCATTTCAGGGCTGCAGAGACTGATGTCATACTTTAAAAAGAACAGTCCTGGATTACATAACCTTCTCCGGGTAATCTTGGCACTTTCGATCCCTGATGAACTGTAAACTTTTTTAATTTTAAACTCCTTTATTAGAGTCAGGGCCCCAGCAGGGAACAGTTAGTTGGCACACTCAAATAGGATGTTTTGAGGAGCATTTGTTTGTGAAAATACTATCCACGGGGAAAGCACAAGTGGGTCTAGGCTAGGAGCCAGAGAGAGAGCTAGTGCCACTTCTAGGCTCAAAGGGAAGAGCACAGGGAGCCTAGAAGTCTGTGTTGGGTTGGCCCCCTCTGGACAATGAATTTTTTGGTAAGAAACTCGACTGTGCTAAGAGGGACTGGTCCAGAGGTTGCCATGGGAATAAGTCCCTCTCTCCTCCCTGCCTCCCATCTCCAGCTGGGGATCCACTGGTCCAAGTCCATGGAAAGCCCAAAGACAAGAGGGCCATAGTGGGGAGACCCACAGGACCTCAGAGCTCAGGCGCCAGGTGCAGAAACAGGTCAGGAGGGACAAAGGAACACTCCCAGTACACCCCCTTAGGACAGAAATCTGTTCCAATTATACGTACTTTTGTTTGTAGAGCAAATATAGTGAGTGCTAATGTCACCAGAGTGGTTGCTGCTGTGGCCCACAACTCTTCCTCCGCATTATAGAAACTAAAACCAGAGACTGCAATTACTGTTCTCATACATTCAAGGAAAGGCACACACAATAATAAGGAAATATGTATCGAAGACTTACACTGATACGGTTCCAAGCAGCAGACCTTGAAGAAGTGTCTAAAAAAAAAAAATTCACAATAAATCAGAAGCCTGCTTTTCAAGGCATGAGGCTGAGAACCAGAATCCACAGGCGGTGCTTTGAAGTGTGTGCTCTGGACAGGGTCTAAGGAGCATGCAAGAGAGTACACGACCCTGTGCTCAGAGCTATGGGGCGAGTGTGGGAAATCAACAGTATAACCAACCGTTTCTGTCACAGTCTTCCTAGGACTAACAAGAGGAAGCCGTTTACCAGTGCAAGTTTCTTAAAACACAATAGTATATTTAACATATCCAGTGAATTAAATACGTACTAATTACGAATGTGGAAACCAAGTACGTGCATGTATATACAAGAATGTGCCTCAGTAAAGCTCACTGTTCTGTATAATTAATACTATTCCCTGATAAAAGAACATTTTTAAAGTTTATTTGTGGATTCTGTTGTCATTAATTGAATGGGGCCATCCACACAGTCTTGTAACACTATCGGATCAGGATATGTTCTCTCTATGAATGCTTCACCCAGAGTGTGGGTATGGACCCTTTCCAAAGGATCTGTGATCATAAATAGGCTCTTCAAACCCCAGACCTGGGGTGAGAACCCAGACCTTCCCAGTGCCAGGAGATGGAACTGGGGAGCAGTTCCTGGCATTGTGGCACTGCGTCTGTAGGCGCTAACCCTGGGAGGAAGGAGGAAGGCTGCACTGGAGAGTTCCCACCACCCAAAGGGAGCCGAGGCTGGCGGGGCCAAGAGCTAGCAGGCAGTCAAGTTGGAGGATGAGAGCAAGGACGGCACCACAGATGTGTCAGGCTCAGACGACGGCCCGCAGTGGTGGTGGGACTAACGTTCCTCAGGCTGCTGAACGCTCAGTCAGAGCAAACCCGAGGATGTGGAAGATCCACGGAAAGAGCCAGGAAAGGGTCCTTCTGTCTCAGGGAACAAAAAGGAGGGTGCAACCTGACAAGTCTGAGGGCTCCCTGGCTTTGGCTTTGAACTTGAGCCAACAGGATCAGAGGCTGGAAAAGAACTGGAGCCTCAAAGTCCTGGGTTACCTGTCTGGCTCTCCCAGGCCCAGGCTCTGCCTGATTCTCTACTTTGATAAACTTGCCCAAGTAGGCTATCTCTGTTTCCATTACAGGAACCAGGCATTTACTTACTCCATGAACACACAATATTGTAATCATACGCTTGCCTCCCACCTTCCTCACAAGATGCTTCCTCCCTCTTCTCCTAACTCAATTGTTTCATTGCAGCATATTAAAGGTGTGTGTGTGTGTGTGTGTGTGTGTGTGTGTGTGTGTGTGTGTAGAGCTGCGGGGTGAGGGGCAGAGAGAAGGAAAGGAAGAGGAACAAATCGGCTGTAGACTCAAACCTGTCTGATGACTTCAAGAGCTCAGAATACGGGCTCCAGGGGTCAAGGTTTCATGGGACAAAAAGTATCTTCCATGAGTATGTTTTCCTTCAACTCCTTTTTCAAAATGGTTTTACCCCTATACTTCCTAACACTTGGGCAAGATATTAACCCTAGAAAATACGCTAATTCTTTCCCCCTCTACAATATATCTTCTCTTCAGCTGTTACTTGCTTTGAGAACAAAACCTCAGCAAGAACAGCTTCTCTGGAGACCAACAGCTCTTATCTGTCTCCTCTTGTAATATGCATTGAAACCATTTGAAATGTTAAAAGGAAAAATTCAAACATTTCTAGGAAACTTGCCCTCTCCTCTCAGCTTCAGAATCCCATAGCTTCCTAAACCTGACTCGATGCCCTGCCCACTCTCAGGTGCTTTCTGTGCTGCCAGGGCAGGCACCGGGACACCCTGCTTGCCAACCTGCGCAACGAGCCGTGTATCCATGCCAACCCAGGGAGGCTCCTCGATGCTCTCACAGCAGAGGAAATGCCTGACTGCGGGCAGCAGACAGCCAGTCTTCTCCAACCTCAAGAGGAAGCTATTCCTCCTGGGTGCTACTTGATATAGAATGCTGAGACTGACATCCTTGGTCATGGGTCCTTGTTTGCTTTGACCACCAGGAGATGCAGAACCAAAGCTAGGATCCCTACACCCAGGAGTACAGGAGTTAGTGCATCTTGCACATCAATCAAACCACTGTGTTTATTTTCCTATTTTTTTTCTCAACATCTTATCTTGTACATATTTGCATAAGCTACCTCAAATCTGATTTGGAACCAGATAAGGAATAAACTTACTTACCAATTGGTAAGTAAATTTTCTTATGCAAGGATGGTCAACACAGCATGGAAGAAAACTCAAAGACTCAAAAAGAGAATCATGTGCTGACTCTATACCTGAATCACACTGGGATGGTTCTGGATTTTCCCAAGAGGAGCAAAACACGATAGCAATTACTACACTTGAGTTCCTGAGAGACCAAAGCTTCCAGAAGGTTCTCACCTTCTGGGCCCGATGGTTCTGTTATGTGAGAGTCAGGGTTGGGGAAATAATTCTTAGATGCTGCTAAGTCCCTGGGAGCTTAGTCTTGGGATGGCATGGGGGTAATGATAGGAATTCAGATTCTATTCAGGGTTAGGAAATCTAGGCACTCAGGTAGCTGTTGAGAGCTGGATCCATCCTGGGGTCTTTCTGTTCTGAGCAGAAGAGAAAGTAACTGGCTACAAGAAAGGGAGCCACATAGTTTCATGTGACCTAGAGTGGTACAGAATGACTGAAAAGCAGGTGTAAAGAGGTTCTGTCAAAAGTGGGGTCAAGTCACCCCAGAGAGGCTCTGGGGAACCAGGAACCAAAGTGAAGATAATGAGCACGAGAAGCCCTCAGACTCCCAACTCTCGGGCGCTGGAAAAGTTCTCCTGAACTGAGAAGAAAGTTCTGGAACTGGGAACAACCTAAGCTCAGAGATGGCTTCTGCTCCCAGAGGGACAGGAACTAGAAAAAAAAACACACACACACTTTACAAAAATAAAGAAAATGACATTTCTTAATCATGAGTTTGTGAACTAGATAAGAAACCACCTTCCAGAACAAAATGTGCTTATTGTGCCTGACAGAGATCCCGGGACAATCAAGTTACCTGTTCTTGAAATGCAGCCCTGACTCATGAGAGGGTTCCCCAGGTAGCCTTATCAGAGCTCAGCTTGCCAGTGGGAAGGAGTAGCTTAGGAGTCCAAACTCTCTAACTTGCTAAAGGGGTGTGGATACTACCTCGGAGGTAAGTTTACTACCTCATTACAACCAGAATTTCTCTCAAGAGTATTCCACAGATAATCCCTACGTGCATTACTCCACAAGAAGAGTCTCCACAAGAAAAGGCAATGAATTTAATATGGCAACTAAAATATATTTCAGAGGTGAGCTAGAGCACGTGCAAAGTTTACTTACAAAGAATCTCAGGAGAATGTAATTTGCAGGCACCTGACGGTGGAGATTCCCACAGCAAGCAAGTATAATTAGTACAACAAAAAATGCTGGGCTGCAGGATAATGTAAAACCCAGTGTTATTTACATCCAGTGATTATATTATATGATATATACAGACAGATATGCAGACTATATCATTAAATGACATTATCTGATAAGAATTATAAAATTATAAAAATGATATTTCCTTTCTCTCTTCCTCTCTGCCTTTAAATTTTTTTTCATTGCCATCTGAAGTTAGCTTGTGGGGTATTTGTATCTTTTTATTTTAAAAATAATTATAGATTCACAGCAAATTGCAAAGAGACCAAAAGGTCCTATGAAACCTACATTCAATTTCCTCTAATGATTGCAATTTATATATTTATAATATAATATTAAAACCAGTAATTTGACATTGATATGGTGTGTCTATCTAGTTCTTTGACATAGAACTATGACACAAATCTACGTGTAAATACAAGTAACCACCACCAGGATCAAAGTTCAGAGCTATTCTATCAATGACACATCAACAAAGACTTCTCTGGTGTTACCCACCCCCTTTCTTGTCACACACACACACACACACACACACACACACACACCCCTCAATCCTGACTGGTGGCAAACACTCATTTGTTTGGTTTCCATCTATATAATTTCGAGAAGGTTATACCTTTATTATCTCATTTTGAATAGTAGTAGAACCTCAGTCAATAGCTAGTAGAAAAACAAGATTTTATTAAAGTTGAGGATACTTACAAGAGTGCATAGGTGAACCATGGGTTTGAACGTACCCACGTTTTTAAACCTTTCCTAGTTAAGAAAAAAAATTGATATAGTTTTACATGACAAATGGTACATTCTGTTAACTGATGTCATATTTAAGCAGAAATAAACACTATCATGAAAAGAATGGCAGGAACCCACAATGATTAGTAATGACGGATAGGGATAAAACTGTGGAGTTTTGCCTAGCACAGGTGAGGCACTGGGTTCAATTCTCATGCATCACATATAAAAATAAATTTAAAAATAAAGGTCCATTTACAACTAAAAAAAAAGTTAAAAACTGGCTTTCTGTTTGTTTTTCTGTTTTTTGCTTTGTTTTTTGGTACTAGGGATTTAACCCAGTGATGTTTTACCACTGAGCCACATGCCCAGCACCCCCTCCTTTTTTTTTAAATTTTGAGACAGGGTCTCACTAAGTTGCTTAGGGCCTCCCTAAGTTGCTGAGGCTGGCCATGAACTTGCAATCATCCTCCTGCCTCAGCCTCCTGAGTCACTGGGATTATAGACATGTACCACTGCACCTGGCTGGAAACATTTTTCTTAAAAGAGAAATAGGCTAGAGATATAGCTCAGAGCAATGCTCTGCATGAGTTAGGTCCTGAGTTCTATCCCCAGCACCAAGGAGAACAAAGATGCATTTATAAAAAAGGCAGGTTTTTTGTAAGTGGTAAATCAAACTTAAATAAATGCAAACACCTAGTGAAGTTCTTTAATTTAAAAAGTACTGAGGTTGATATGCATACAAGGTAAAATAAATCAATTCATCTATTTCATAAGTTCAGATTTGCATAGGATGCACACTTAATCAGTAATAGATCATAGTCTCTCAAATATTTAATTCCAGCCTCCAAGTTCTCACCTTTTTCCTGTATCCAGTTTAATCTGTGAAAATAGGGCAAGGTAAACAGTACCCAAAATAACAGGAAGAAAAACGTTCTTGCATTAAGAAGGAGGTTAAAGTAGAATTCTAGAAATCTACCACCACCTTGGTCTAGGAATTGCTTCAGAAAAACAAACCTGTAGAAATATCATCTCCAATGAATAATTAAGAAAAAATAGTTAATGACTAATTCTTATTTCTTTAAAAGGCCAAAAGTTGTTCGCCACATGTATATTATGAATTTCTGAATCTCCTGGACAACTTGGGTGTAGTCTACCATTGCGGTACTCTATCCTATCTCATGATACAGTGTGAGTAGTAAAAGCTAATAGAATAATAATAAAAAAATCTCTCTGACAAGCAACACTGTGGAAATACTTTAAAAGAATGTTTGCCAAGGTAAGTGCTAGTAAGTGGTTGTACTGCAATTGTTCAGGAAACAATGATAAGAAAAAACAATGTCTCTCCATGTTCAGTACTACTCCTTTAAAGAGTATTTAATCAAAGCTGGACACAGTGACACATGTCTGTAGTCCCAGAGCTTGGAAGGCTGAGGCAGGACGATCCCTAGAGCCCAGGAGTTCCAGGTCAGGCTGGACAACATAGCAAGAGTCGGTCCCGAGTACAAACAACAACAACGGAAAATAATTTCAACCAATTGTTAATTATGCTTTATTGGAGTCCATTTCCTGGAAGAGAAAAAGTATTATTCATGTCCATACCTCTATAACCTTAGATCCCTGTGACATTCAAGTAATTTTCCCCCAAATTTTAATTATCTTGGCCCTGTCCTTGAGCATCAAGCCATGACAGTGCTTAATAAACATTCATTAAACAAATCATGAACAAATCTTTGTAAGATGAGGCCCATAGAGTAGAATAACTTACATTCTATTATGAAATTAATATTTTTATAAAGCAGGGATCTAAGACCACCAAAGAGCTCACATTTTGAATAGAAGGTAAGCAAACAAGCAGTAAGGTGAAAGACAATATAAGCAGGCCAGAAGTGTGGAAGGATGGTACAAGAGCCCTCACAAAGGGCTGGAGGAACAGGCAGGGAGTAGAAGGGGTTTTCCAAAGCTCCCAGAGAAGTGGGGGTTAAGCCAGGCCTGGAGGTTGTGTAGGAGTTGGTCAAGGGAAGAGGTGGAATATGGTTTTCCCAAGCAGAAGGAACAGCCTGGAGCAGGGGAGGAGCAAGCAGAGAGGTCTAGAAACTAAAAGAAGTTCAGGTATCTGGGGTACGAAGCTCAAGAGTATAATGAGGTTAAACAGAGGGGCGTGGAGCACATCACTGGCGGCTGGCAAGTAACTTAAGGAGTCTGGGTATGGTAGGCAGAATAACAGTTCCCAACCATGGCCACATCCTAATCCTCGGGACCTGTGCATGTTACCTTGCATGTCAAAAGGAACACTGCAAATGCTGTTAAGGACTTTGAGATGGGGAGATGATCCTGGAACCAGTCAAATCACAAGGTTTCTTACGATCCGAATTTTAAGAGGGAGACAGAGGGATAGAATAAGAGAAGGAGAAGGGACAATGGAAATAGAGGTCGGAGGGTTACAGGTGTTGTCTTTGAGGATGGAGGAAGTGACCATGGGCAGAGGAGTGCTAAGGATGTTGGAAAAAGCAAGGAGTTGGATTTTCCTCTAGAGCCTCCCGAGAAGAATGCAGCCCTGCTGGCACCTCCGCTGTAGCCCAGCGGAACTGATTCAGGGCCTCTGACCTGAGGAATCATAGCATAATCAACGTGTTGTTGTCATGCACCAAGTTTGTGATGATTTCTAACAGCAGGATGTCAAGGGTTCTCTTGGGGAACATGAGGACTCAGCAAGTCCCCTGCTGCAGGCCTTCTGTTCCACAATGGGCCACAAAGGAGTCTGGGAAGGAGACTGCTGAGAGAGCAAAGGCTTGGACAAGCTGGAGGCCAAGGGGGAAGGGCAAAAAAGAGGTCTCAACAAAACCCCAGGCTCCTGGAGAAGCAGATGTGATTCGGTAAAAATGTTCCTTCTCCTTAAATTACTTTCTACGCTTTACAAGGTTTGTTGGAATTTTTTTCCAGTACATGAAATTGTAATCGTAAATTTCATTGGAAACAGTAAACATATGAGAATGATCAAGAAACAGTGAGAAAGAGAAGAATTGTGAGGGGAGGGGTAGTGATTTACTTTATCAGGAATCAAAACATCATCAAACAATATGGTTAAAATTATAGTACTAATGTGGCAATAGATAAATGGATCAATGGGATGGGAGAGATTCAAAAAACAAACTGATATATTTGAGGATGTAATATTGGATAAAGATGGAATTTCAAATTATTGTCTCATGCTATTGGAACAATTATGTCTTTGGAAAACAAAATAAGCTTTAATATCTACTTTGCATTATATACAAAAATGTATTCCCTGTGAATTAAACATATTATCATATAAAATAATAGTCATAGATATTCTACAATAAAATACAAGGGCCGAGCACCGTGGCACATGCCTGTAATCTCAGTGGCTCTGGGCTGAGGCAGGAGGATGGCGAGTTCAAAGCCAGTCTCAGCAATCATGAGGCACTAAGCAACTCAGTGAGACCCTGTATCTAAATAAAATACAAAATAGGGCTGAAGATGTGGCTCAGTGGCTGAGTGCCCCTGAGTTCAATCCCTGGTACCAAAACAATAAAATAAAATACAAGGAAGATTTTTAGAAGCCTTTGTAAGAATGATACCATAAAAGAAGTGCTGGACAGGAATACTTTGATGCCATTACAAAAAGATACCAATAAATCTAAAATACAAAATAATTTTTAAAAATTGCAATGCTTTCTATACTCTAAAAAGTACTTTATCAATGAAAATACAGAAAAAGGATGAGAAAAAAAAAACATGAACAGGCAATTGCCAAAGGAAATTTTAATGGCCGGTAAATTTCTCTTCTGAGAAAGCAGCAAGACCTCACAAACAACTAAGAACTGTAAGTAAAATGTCATTTTTTTTTCATAAAAGAGTGGCAAAGATTAAAAATATAATCCTCAGGCTTGTAAGAATATAAAGAAATAGATAACCGAGGGCCACTCTTGCATGGGAACTATGCTTTTGTTTGCTCCCATGGGATCCCTCCTCCAAAAAAACACTTGAATATATATATATATATATATTTAATAATTATAAAAATTAAGTATGCTTCCATTCTAAATCATTTTTATAATGGCATTGTTAAAAAGATGAATATGAGCCAGTCTAAATTCATTATATGTTAGCTGTTCATTATTATATTTATTTTTCTCCAGATTTTAAACAAGATTAAAATAGTTTCATGCCTCCCCCAAAACAGTCATGGGCCCCAGGCATGCAGCCTACTGTGCCTAGTGGGTAAGTCAGCCTTGGTACAGCCTGGCAATATGAAAATTTTTTTGGGAAGTGGAATGGGGTGCAATTTGGCAGCATCTATCAGATATCAAAACGTGCATTGTGTTAGACACAACTGTTAGGTTTTTAGGACTTGACCCCATAAGTATATTCACTAGTAATTAAAGATACACATTAAAAGGAGGTTCATTACATCATTCCTTGCTTATAACTGCAAAACAAACAAAAACAAAAACAAGGAAAACGGCCTAATATCCATCAGCATATGAAGGGTTAAATTAATTTTGGATTGGAAAAGGCAGATATATATGAATTACTGTGAAGTTCACTGTGATACAGGTTTGAAATTTAAAAGTAAGATTAGAAAATAATATTTAGTGAGGTTACTTAAATATTACACACACACGCACGCACATACACACACACACATCTTCCAAGGAGTGCAAAGATACACTACGAACTGTTTAGTTATCTCTGACATAGCAGAGTTGGGGAATACACTCTGAATGGATTTTTACAATGAACATTTATTACTTATAATAATAACAAAATATATATTTACATTTTAAAGAGAAAAAAGATCTATTTCTCTTGTTGATAAAGTCTGGAGCTCTTCTGAGAAAGCAGCCTTCACACAAAACTGAGCAGCATTGAAAGATGCTCAAATAACCAACCTGGTTTCTTCCCGAGTCCTGTGAATCAGAAATGGGAGAGAAAGCAAGATTTTCAAGGCACTCAAAAAACAAGACAAACAAAAACCAAAGTCAACTGAGTTTTCCTCATGAAACTACATTAGGCTGGTGCCTGAATCACCAAGTGAGACCTTCACCTGGTCCTTAAAAATCTCTCCTGGCTCCTGAAGCAGCCGTTATCCAAAGGACAGGCAGGTGCTGTGACTGAGAAGCAAAGTTCTGAGCGACAGTTAGGGGAGTGGCAGTTGGAGCATTTGGTGTGGGCTGGGGACCCGCTGCCTGGGGGAGGGGCGAGATCAAACCCAAGCCGCCAGGCCTCTTCCAAACTAGCTATTGCCTCCTGTGTTGGATCTCAGGGAGACCTACATTTTGAGTCATCAAACCAATTCCATGTCCCAGAACAGGAGACTCCATCCGGGAGGAAGCAGTGTCTCTTCAACCATGCCATCACTTTCTCTAGAGCAGGAGGAAGATGATCATGAAACTCCAGTGGGGGCGCACTTCAAAGATCCTGCACAATTATTCCAAATAAGTAAGAGTCATTTATGATAAAGTCGGGGCTGATCTTTATGGTGAATGATGATCATGGTGCCCTCCCATGGTACAGGGAGACTACTGCCTGCCGGTGGCAGGCCGATGAGCAGCTGGGGAGGGGCCCCTTTCAAGGTGCTTGGGGAGAGAAGTCAGAGGATTAGGTAAGGAACAGCTAGTCCCTTTCCCTGGGATGGCTCGTCAAGAAGGAGAATGGGAGCAGGAACTTGTCCTGTTGCTGCTGAGAAAAAGTGATTCATTAAATGGCTAATTAGTGCTTGTCTACTCTGCCCAAGCAGTGGGGAAGTGGAAGAAATACAAAGAGCAAAGAGACACGCTTCCTTCCCTCATAGTCAGCCAGAGGGGACGTGTGCAAAAGGGTGCACCCAAGGTAGAGAAAGGGAAGAGTCATTGAACGGAACAGTATTCAGGGATAGAGTTGGAGATGGATTTTCATCATGGGTCTGAGATGATTGTTGGAAGGTTAGGGTCAGATGTGAAGCACCTTCCAGGCAAAGAGAACCTTTAAGCCCTAGCATGACGGTGGCGACCATGGGGACACCCTCTACAGAAAGTCGGTCCCTTAAGTCATAACATAGGAGGTGTAGGAGGTGTGCCTGCAGCAGAAGACAGAGATGTTATACCGACCCTCCTGAGGATAAAAAGGGAAAAGGTCAGTGAGAAAATCTGCCCTCACTCTCCTCTCGAACCTTCTTGCAGTTTCATAGGTCTTACTCCTCGGTCCAGTCTCCAGGCTCTCTATCTGGTTTGTTGATGTTAACAGGCAATGTGAGTGAATAATATCTTCTTCCAAAATGTATTTAACATGATTGACATGACTACATGTCAGGGGTATATCTGATGACTTGGCTACAGTTTGGACTAAAGACATATTTCCTCCCCCTCCTCCTTTCTTTTTTTTAAGAGAGGATTTTTTTTTAATATTTATTTTTTAGTTTTCGGCGGACACAACATCTCCGTTCGTATGTGGTGCTGAGACTCGAACCCGGGCCGCACACATGCCAAGTCGAGCGTGCTGCCGCTTGAGCCACATCCCCAGCCCATCCCTCCTCCTTTCTTACCAGCATCATAGTGGACACTAATCAGATGTAGCAGTTGTTTTCAGCCTCACATGGATGAACACATTTAATGCTCACAACAGCCCTATGAGTATGTTCTGGTTACCCTCATTTAACAGGTGAGTAAATCAAAGGGAGATGGAGTGGCAGTGGCCCCTGCAATGCATGGGGAGAGGCTGTATGGTCAAGGAGACCTCTATCTGCCCATCAAGGAACAAAATGCGATGAAGGCTTATCTCTTTGAAACCAGTCCTGTGATATATTTTGTATATCTGCTCTTTTCTTTTTTAATATTGAGAGTTTTAATTAATGAACTTTACAACATTCAAATCATGCAAAAAGAGTCCATGCTTACACTGACAAGCCCCTGGGGAACTCTACTTCATTCTTTCCCCTTAGTGTGAATTTTTAAGACCTTGGGAGGCATTCATTTCTGTGTTCATAACTTACACACACTAGTACCACCACCACCACCACCACCACCACCTCAATTTCCCCAGACATTCCATAGACACCAAATTGTCGATGCGCTCCAGCTGAACCCTTCCTCTGGATTCAGATTGAGAATCTCTTACTATGTGCCTATGGTCTGAATGTATTCCCCCCAAATTCATGTGTTCAATTTAATCAACAATGTGATAGTCCTAAAAAGAGGAGCCTTTAGATTAAGTCATAAGGACAAAGCCCTTCCACTCCAGGAGGGTACCTACATGGCCTTTCATGAGGATTTTTCAAGTTTAAAATTTGATACTTTTTCTTCATTTTTTAAAAATAAAGGTAATGCATGCATGTGGTAAGAAAAAGTCATAACCAATACAAAAGGGCAAAAAATGAAAAAAAAATCGTCTCCCTGGCCACCCTTGTTGACAAAAATGTATGTATCAGAGAACTTGTTAATTTGTACAAAGTGATTGGATTATATACACTGTTTTATAAAATGCCTTTTTCTCCACTAAATATCTGAGATTTTTTTCTTATCAGTACATTTACAAACCTTGAATAGTTCCCTGTCTCACTCAAAATAAAGTCCGAAGTTCTTATATGGACAACCTAAACTGATGCCCAAACCTGACAAAGATATTACAATAAAGGAAATTATAAGCTCACATCATTCACGAATATAGATGTAAAAAATCTCAAAATAGTAAACTAAACCCAAAAATATATGAAAAGGATAATATATCACAAGTCACGTTTCATTCACAAACTTGCAATGTTCATTTAACATTCAGAAATCTGTATAATCCATACATTAATAAAGAAGAAAAAACATTATGATCATCTCAAAACCATTTAATGAAATTGTGTTACAGCACAGATGCCCACTGCTGTGGGGTCAAGACAGCGATGGTGGTCTTCTGATACCAGCTCTTTCAATCACACCAGAAAGATTTTAGACATGTTGCTCAGAGTAGCCGCACGAGTTTATTAGAAAGGATAGAAAACGGGAAAGGGGAGAGTGGGTCCTCTCAGAGGAGGAGGATGCTCCTCTACTGCCCTCCAGTTTTACTGGGGTATTTCAGAGAAGTTTCCAGAGAGTCCTGCCCATGTCCACCTCTTGACTTTTGACTGACAGCAGAATTGCATCAGATTTTTTCAAGTCCCATCTGTGCATGATAAATGTCCAAGGCAGCTCTGGGTCACTTTATCCCATGCTGAACTGGTTTTTCTGGGGTTTTGTTTGTGTGTTTGGTACAAGGAATTGAACCCAGGTACAAAAGCACTGAGCCACATCCCAAACCTTTTTTTATATTTTATTTAGAGACAGAGTCTCACTGAGTTGCTTAGGGCCTTGTTAAGTTGCTGAGACTGGCTATGAACTTGAGATCCTCCACTCCTGCCTCAGCCTCCCAAGCTGCTGGGATTACAGGCATGTGCTACCACGCCAGCTTAATTGGAACTTATTCTCACAGATTTTATGGTTAGGGGAATTATCCTAACCTCCCTGAGTTCTGGAACCTGGTCTGTGTAAGGGTTACAAAAGACCACCCCCCAATCAGGATAACTTGCAATCTTCTTATCAGCATTTAGGGTCTATATTTCTCCAGCAGATAATAGGTTGTTTCCTGAGGAACATCACCAGGAAGGTCTGCAATTTAATTGCTTTTTAAAAGAAAGCATGTGGGGGTCAGCACAGTGAGCCCAGTTTAGAGAATTATCTCCTTAACTTCATCCTACTGCTCACATGCATGATAAATACAGGACCAGAAGAAAATCCCTTTGCCTAATAAAGAAAATTTATAAAATCTACAGCATCAGAGTGATTATCTCAATAAAGAAAAGAGCCTCATTTGCAATAGTTGTCTCTTTCTCCATTTGGTTCCTGGAGTGTGATTACTCTGTAATAATTAACCTGTACAAGTATGAGTTGGGTACTTTACAGTATGTGTTTGAATAAGTTGTTAAAAAAAATTAAAGGAAAAAAAATATACATCTCCCTAATGATCTCAGAAGGATAGAAGGTACAGCCAGGAATTGGAAAGCAGACAGGATGGGGCATGACCTGAGCAGGATGAGAAAGAACTGAGATGCAGGCCCAGGATGTCGTCCTATGGCAGAAAGGAAGTTGGTGAGCCAGGGGTCAAGATCTTCAATGAATGAGAAAGTAACTTATAGCTGACATACAAAGAGTGGTATACACTGTCAGATGGAGGAGATAGACTAGCATAGGATTTAATGTCTAGAGTCCCTCACAGAGTACATTGCAGGGAAGGAAAATCTTCCTTCTACTTCCTTAGGTTCTGTGACTGGGCCTGAGAATTAAATTGACAAAAGAGAGATTAACAGGGGAAAAGCATACACATTTTAGTTTATATTTTTACATGCACAGGAGCCTTTAAGAAAACGACAGAAGGGCCGAGGATGTATCTCAGTGGCTAAGTGCTTGCCTAGCATGCACAAGATCCTGGGTTGATCCTCAACACCCCCCACCCCCCAAAAAAGTGATAGAAACTTATGTGGCCTTTTAAACAAAGAATAATTGTGGTAATGAGAAAAGACTAAAGGGCTTGGGCTCAGCTGGTAGACTGTGGGAAAGATACTAGGAAATACATAGGGGACACTAGTAGAAAATTAAGTGTTAGAAATTTCAGTAATTTGTTTGCAGATTCATGTGGGAATCAGGTCTCTCTGGTAATAGGAACCCAGGCATTCTTCTCTTCCTAACACAGGGAGGACACTTTGCATAAGGCAGGTTTCATATCCTGCTTCAAGCAGAAAGCTCCATTGCTGATGCTTCATTGCCCTCAACTCAAAAGAATTACAATTTGAAAGGGCCATATTTCAGGATATGCTCTGAACCCCTCCCTTCACCATTGCTCTGAAATGAGATGGCTCTACCTATTCTCCTCAACCCCTTTTACAGTTGGTTTACTCCCTGTAACAGTTCTGGAAGATTATTTTGTTGGGGAAACTCTGGTGCTCTGAAGCTCTCTACCCTGCCCAGAAAAGGTACCCAGGGTCCAGGCTGTGATGACAGCCACGTCCAAATAGCAATCACCGTTCATGGTAAAGTAGGGATATGTTGTTCCTAGGTTGTCATGAACCTACATGAGATTTCCTGGTGTCATGGGCACTTAATACATGCATCCCTCTCCCCCCAACATATTCCTCAAGATCTCTCCGAGGATGCCAAGGGTAGGAAACCCGGGATTGTGAAGAGGGCTATGCAATCACCAATTCACCAAGAGAGACTGAAGACACCCTTTTCGTGCCAGGCCAGCACTGATGAGCAACATATAATCAAGGTGGTTTGATTTCTCCTAGCCACTCCGCCTAGCCAGCTGTTTGTTCTCGAGTGCCTGTCGTGGGACTGCTGGGTCTCAGGACCCTTTCAGGATACCCTCACAGTCAAAACTCTTTCCCCACAATGCTAAGCCAGCTATTTGTCTTTTCAAGTCCCATTTTCTCATGGGTGTTCTGTTTAGAGGCTGACGATGGCATCATTGCCCAAAGGCTAATGAACGTGTGCTCTCTTAGACTTTAAAATGTCTAAATTCTTTTTTATTTTTTAGATATATTTTTTAGTTGTCAATGGACCTTTATTTATTTATATATGGTGCCTCACACGTGCTAGACAAGTGCTCTACCACTGAGTTACAACCCCAGCCCAAAATGTCTCAATTTTAACTCCCACCACATAAATATTTATGAACATAACCCACATAAACCAACATATGGGGGGGGGGGGTGCCAAACTGTAATTTTTTTTTCTTTTTTTAATATATTTTTTAGTTTATATTTTTTAGTTATCAGTGGACCTTTTTTTAAAAATTTATAATGTGGTGCGGAGAATCGAATCCACTGCCTCACACAGGCTAGGCAAGCGCTTCACCACTGAGCTACAGCCCCAGCCGGAAACTGTAATTTTTAAGAGTCTAAAAGGGGACCTGAATAGGATTGCCAGATTTAGCAAATAAAAATACAGGATACTCGGTTAAATTTTAATCTCAGATAGACGATTTTTGCAAGGGATACACTCAGCCTAAAAATATTACTCGTTCATCCGTCATTTAGATTTAATTGGGAATCCTGTATTTCACCCGGCAAGTAGACCAAAAAGTTTGAGAACTGCTCCACCAGGCGACAGCAAGTTGAACTGCAGAGAGCGCCAAGTAATTCCGGCGCGGCACTTCCGGTGAGGTGGTTGGGGCGCGAGCCCTCCCCAGCCCCATCTCCGGAAGCCTCCGCGGGCCGCTCGCAGGCCAGGCCCCGCCCCGCGGCGCTGTGCACTGCCCAGGGCCGGTGGTGGGCGCGGGCGGGCGGAGCCTGCCCCGAGCCTGCAGGGGGCAGCGGCCGAGGCCAGGCCCTTGTG